ATGCATGCATATATCCTGATACATTCTTCTACCCTAAAATAATGAAATATAGTTTTTGTTAACTAAAGTGGTTTTTAAATTGTTAATGTCAATTGTGTAGGGGTAATTTTGTCTTTATGCTTATGTTTAAGTTGCTGATGTGTAAAGTTATGTTAGTTCTTGTGTCCCTCACTTAAGTAGGGGCAAAGGTGTCCTTTGCTGATTAATAGAAATATAAAATAGATCTGGCCGAATGGAGAGAGACTAATTTTCTCTCTTGTTCGAACCAGACCTTTCTCCCTCTCTATTCTCTTCTCTTCTTTCTCCTATTTCTACTGTTACCATTCTAACAGAATTCAAAGGCAGGCTGGATTCTAATATGGTATCAGAGCCTAATTGAGAAAATCGAAACTGCCCAGAATTCTGTTCTTCATGCACCCAGTCTAGGGTTTTCTCTTGTTTTCTTCGCTATTAGTTGGAGATAAGGGAAGGGGCTGAAAAGGAATGATCGCCCTCTTCCCTTGGAGGTTTCTATGGCTCCAGTCGTGCAGTTTGTGGTTGGTTGTTGTGGTTTGTAGGAAGCCCTCCCCTAATCGATGAATAGAAGAGGGCTGATTCGTGTGATGCAATGGGTGCCGAGTATAGTCTGATATTCTGGTGATCAGGTAATAGGTTTTTATGCAGTTTTTTATTGTGAATCAAATGATGAGTATGTTTCAGATTGTATGGTGGGAATTTAGGTTGTAGTGTGTTAGGGTTTATGCAAATTTCAGTGTGATTTGAAGGGGGAGTGATCCTCAAACAGTGTGGTGAGTTTTCAAGTAGTTGTGTGGTAGGGTTGTGGTGTAGAGAGTGCAGTATTCAGCAATAACAAGTGCTGAGAACAGTGTGGTTCAGTTTGTAGTGTGTAGAATTCAGCAATTGGAGACAACAGTGACAGTATTACTAGTGTTTTCGATAGACCAGCCTTTGCAGTATCAAGGGGCCGTGGTGCTAAAGGTGGAGCTCGGGGAGCTCAATCTGGTCGTAGTGGTAGCAGTGGACTGGTATATGGTCGTAGTGGTGGTGGTGGACCTACGTATAACCATGGTGGTGGTCGTACTGGAGGTCGAGATTCAGGGGGAGTCCGCGGCAGAGGACGTAGTTCAGGTCTGAGGAGATGTACACACTGTGGTTTGGATGGACATACCATTAATTATTGTTATGATTTGCATGGTCCACCTTCAACTTGGGCCAATCATGCCATGACCAATGATAGCAGCTTCAGACAAGAAAGCCATTCAGCATCAGATGCTCCCTACATCCACAGATGTTCCTGGGAAGGAGATGATGAGTGTCCCCCGTGATAAGTATGAGGTTTGTCCAGGCCACATCTTAACAGAACACAACCACTCTTGCACACTCAGGTATGGCTTGTCTGGCATCCACACCCAATCCCTGGATTATTGACTCTGGAGCCTCCGATCACATGACTAGAACTCCATGTGTGTTTTCTTCCCCCTCTCATTGCCCAACATCACAATCTGTTACCCTTGCTAATGGTTCCACAACCTCTATTTGTGGTGTTGGTAATGTTAACATGGACCCTTTACCCTTATCCTCAGTTTTGTATGTCCCTAAATTTCCGTTTAACCTTATGTCGGTTACTAAGTTGACCAAGTCTCTTAATTGCTCCATTACTTTTTACCCTTCTTCGTGTGTTTTCCAGGGTCTCAAGACGGGGATGAAGATTGGTGGAGGCCATGAAGTTGGTGGATTGTATTATCTTGACGGTGGTGGAAGTACGTCAACAACTCTCCAGTCATCTCTTTCTCCTCTCCAATGGCACTGTCGGTTTGGTCATCCTTCGTTGAAAGTTTTGAAGTCTCTTGTTCCTTCGTTGAGTCATCTTTCTGTTTTGGATTGTGAGTTGTGTTAGTTGGGGAAACATTATCATGTTCCCTTTAGTCATAGGGTTGATAAACGTATGTCGAGTCCTTTTTCTTAAGTTCATTCAGATGTTTGGGGTCCTTATAAAGTAATGTCATACAATGGGTATAAATATTTTGTTATTTTTGTTGATGATTATTCAAGGATGTTTTGGCTTTATTTAATGAAAGAAATGAGTGAATTGTTTGCCATCTTCCAAAAATTTTATGCTGAAATTCGTAACCAATTTGGTGTCCACATTAAAATTTTTCATTCCGATATTGGTCTAGAATATTTGGACCAACATGGCATTATCCATCAGACTTTATGTACCTACACCCCACAAAATAGTGTGGCTGAGAGAGAATCGTCATCTTTTGGAAACTGCTCGATCCCTCATGCACCACATGAATGTACCCAAACCTTTTTGGAGTGATGTTGTGCTTACTTCTTGCTTCCTGATTATCCGGATGCCCACGTCTATCCTTGATGGTCATTCTCCCTTCACCACTTTGTTTCCTACCTTGTCTTCGTTTCTCCTTTCTCCTCGGGTTTTTGGATGTTTCTGTTTTGATCATAATCTGGGACCGAGAAGGGACAAGTTAGATGCATGATCCATTAAGTGCATCTTCCTTGGCTATTCCCAGACTCAGAAAGGGTATAAGTGTTATCGTCCTAGTTCTCGACGTTCCTTTGTGTGTGCTGATGTTACTTTGTTTGAGTTCACTCTGTTTTTCTTGAGGTCAGGTGATGTTTATTCCTCCTCACAACCTCCTTTTCTTCCCCTTCCAGTTGTGGATTCTGTTCCACTTGTTCCAGTTGTGACCAAGTCTTTGCCTCCGGTGCCACCACCTGTTGAACAACCACCTATTCATCAAGTGTATACACAGCGCCAATATGTACCGGCTCCTCCTCCAGCTCCATCATCGTCGGCAGATCCGGTAGTTGTTCCCACACTAGCCCCAACCCCAGTGTCTGAACTTGATCTTCCCATTGCCTTGTGGAAAGGTAAATGCAATTGTACCCTTCATCCTATTTCTAATTATGTTTCTCTCACTCACTTTTCCGCTTCCCATCGCCAGTTTATCTCCTTGTTATCCTCTGTTGTTGTCCCTAAGGATGTCCAAGAAGCTCTTGCCTCTCCAAGGTGGCACCATGCAATGGAAGAACTCTCCGCTTAACTCATAATCATACATGGGACCTCACCACACTTCCTCCTGGTAAGCAGGTTGTCGGTTGTAAGTGGGTTTACACTGTTAAATACTTACCTGATGGTAGTGTAGAGCGGTTGAAAGCTAGATTGGTTGCCAAAAGGGTACTCCCAAACCTCTTGTATTGACTACACAAAGACCTTCTCCCTAGTTGCTAAGATTGGTTCAGTTCTTGTTGTAATATCTCTTACTGCTATGTATGATTAGCCTCTCTATCAGCTTGATATCAAGAATGCTTTCTTACATGGTAATCTAATTGAGGAGGTCTATATGGAGCAACCATCGGGGTTTGTTACTCAGGGGGAGGTTGGTAAGGTGTGCCGACTAAAGAAGGCTATTTATGGACATAAACAGTCTCCTCGAGCATGGTTTGGTAGGTTCAGTGAGGTGGTTAAGAAGTTTGGTATGAAATAGTGCTAGGTTGACCATTCAATCTTCAGTCATGACTCTCAAGCTGGAGAGATCCTATTGGTGGTATATGTAGATGATATTGTTATTACCGGGAATGATAAAGTGGGAATTGATAGGTTGAAAACCTTTCTATAGGAACACTTTCAGACAAAGGACCTTGGTAAACTAAAGTATTTCTTGGGGATAGAAGTAGCAAGGTCTAAGCATGGTATTAACTTGTGCCAAAGGAAATATGTTCTTGATTTGTTGGAAGAAACATGATTGTTAGGTGCTAAACCAGCTGAAACACCTATGGAAGTAAACACTAAGATGAGTAGTGATATGGGTGAAGAGTTTGAAGACCCTGGCAGGTACCAACGGCTAGTAGGTAAACTGAACTACCTAACCATTACTCAGCCAGACATTTCATTTGCGGTTAGTGTGGTAAGTCAATTCATGCAGAAACCTTAGGTTCTACATCGGGATGCAGTTCTAAGGATTGTGAGGTATTTAAAGGGGATTCCTGGTTGTGGTTTGATATATAGAAGTGGAGGAAAACTTGAAATAGAAGGATATACTGATGTTGATTGGGCTGGTTCTATATTTGATAGGAGATCCACTACAGGCTATTGTACTTTTCTTGGGGGTAATCTGGTGACATGGAAAAGTAAGAAACAGACAATCGTGGCAAGAAGCAGTGCAGAGGCAGAGTATAGAGCTATGGCACATACTACTTGTGAATTAGTGTGGCTGAGGAACCTTCTACAGGAGATGGGGTACACTGTTGACACTCCAATGAAGTTTAACTGTGACAATCAGGCTGCAGTCCATATCTCTTCTAATCCGATGTTTCATGAGAGAACCAAGCACATAGAGGTTGACTGTCACTTTGTGAGAGAGAAGGTGCTGAGTGGAGTGATAGATACTGCATATGTTAACACAGGAAACCAATGGGCAGACTTGTTTACCAAAGGGTGTAGTCGGGGAAGAGTGGACTACATATGTAACAAGCTGGGACTATATGATATATACTCACCAGCTTGAGGGGGAGTTTTAATGTCGACTATGTAGGGGTAATTTTGTCTTTATGCTTATGTTTAAGTTGTTGATGTGTAAAGTTATGTTAGTTCTTGTATCCCTCACTTAAGTAGGGGCAAAGGTGTCCTTTGCTGATTAATAGAAATATAAAATAGATCTGGCCGAATGGAGAGAGACTAATTTTCTCTCTTGTTCGAACCAGACCTTTCTCCCTCTATATTCTCTTCTCTTCTTCTTCTTCTTCTTCTTTCTCCTATTTCTACTGTTACCATTCTAACAGAATTCGAAGGCAGGCTGGGTTCTAATATAAATGTATATTGTCTTGTTTTTAGTTTGATTTATTGCACTCAATGTCACTATATGTGCACTCTAGTGATGCAGTTGTATTTGTTCCATTTATTTTGTTTTCTTCTTATTTGGTTGATCTACTTCTTTCTGACTATGGGAATACTGATCATTTGGTTCTTTATATAGCAATGTATTGTTTAGGGAATTTGCTCTGATTTCCATGTGGAGAGTTCCTAAACTGCCCATTGGAGCACACATGCTACTTAGTTTCCTTGTTGAGCCTTTGAAACAACCTACAAAGGTGCTGCTTTCCTTAGAGGATCATGATATTCCTGAGAATTTAAAAGAATTCCAGGATTGGGTATGCTTCAATCAACCATCTCTCATTGTTTTAAATATGAGTAGATCTTACAGACCGGTCTGACTTTTGTCATGCCATTATCTGTTAGAACCTTTTAGTTCTAAGATAAAGTACTAATTTCCCCTTTCTAAACAGAGCAAATACTATTCTTGTGATGCAACTTATAGAAACTGGCTCAAAATAGAGTTGGAAAATGCAGCAGTTTCTCTCGATGAGATTTCTCCAGAGGAAGGACAGAGAGCTATTGCAGCTGCTAAAGAAATGTTACGTGCATCACTGCTCCTGTTATCAAGTGAGTTGTTAATTCACTGTTGAATGTTGTTTGACCGTTGTTTTGATAACACAAAAGTATTGTGCCTTAAAAATTTTTTGAAGTAAAATAATGCCAGAAAGTTCTTATTCTGGGTATGTCATTATGACCTGTTGATTATGTAAGTTTTCTGTTATATTTTAGTGTCAGTGTCAGGGGATGATTAGTCTTTTTGCCCATCTCTATGGTTACCCTAGTAAAAATAATAAGAGGGGCTGCCACCTTCTCACTTTTGACAGCTCCAAATACTTTGTCTTCTTCTTCTTCTTCTCTTCTTCTAAGGATTCTAACACTGAAAACACCATTCTTCCACATGTGCCAAATACCTTTTCTGTGATACTATCTGGGTGGACCATTCCTAATCATGTTTCCATGTGCATGGATGTGTCTATTTATCTATCTATAATAGGATTGTTATGCCATGTGTGATATTTTGATGATTCTGCTCCTTTTAGGGAAAGAAAGCCCATGGCTGGTTGTCAATGAAGATCATTTTTATGAATCAGAAGATCCAGTGTTCCTTGAATTACATGCCACTGCACTGCTTTGTCTACCTTCTGGTGAATGCATGTATCCAGATGCCACCTCCTGCACTACATTGACAAGCGCTCTCTACTCTTCTGTCAGTGAAGAAGTTGTACTAAAACGCCAGTTAATGGTATGTGTGTGTGTGTGCATGTTTGTACACTAAAATAGAAAAGATAGGATGGTGCTTGAAGCTATTGTGCTATTGCTGCTGCCTTTGTTTATCTGGGCCATAGTTGATTGATACCTTTAGGCCTTTACCTATAAGGTATCTTGAGCACAAAACCTGCATAAAATCATCTTAATGGCCTGACTAAATGGACCAGTTCTTCAGTTAATTTAATTACCACTGCTATGTTCATCATGTTTGAGTTAAATTCAAGCTTAAACCCAGGTTTAGATGGGCCAATCCAAGCTCAATCCATATTAAGCTGAACCATGCTGACCAAAACCATTTGTGCACGTAGAATATAAGTGTTGTTGGGTTTCAATGGTTCAGGTTTTCTAAAACATTAACCAAGCTTAACAAAGGTTAGTTTAGCTTGGAAGGTTTCATTCTGGTACAAGTAACATCTTATGAAACTGCTGCTATCCATCCTACATCTTCGGTTGGGTTTGGGCCAAAACGAGTGGCACTCCTAATATTTGGGATCATATGATCATATACCTTTTTTCCTTGTAAGCATGATGATCATATATCGTTTTGCTTGGGAAATTTTTTCTTTTCTTTTTTTTTTTTTTTTTTGGGGGGGGGGGGGTTGTGTTGAGAGCAGAATTTGATACCAAGTCAGTGATAGACCTGTTTGCAGGCCGGGCTTCTGGCTCGCCCATTAACATTTTACTCTGCTTCAGGGCTTGGGCTTTAAGCTGGGCCCATTCAAATTTTGGCAAAAGCTCAACCTGAGCCCGGCCCATGAGCAGGTCTAGTCAATGGGTACTAGATTTACTGACTTTACTAGATGAGCCAAGTGGAACCTTTATCATCTTACTAATTTGACTTCTGGATTTCTGACCTGTGACCTAGAGCAAGAGGTGTCCCACCAACGGCAAAACTTGTAATTATACTCTAGCTACTTGTCATATACATTGCGGATTTGGGAGGACAGTTGAAATTTCATATTGTTCCAGATCATTAAACAGTTCCTGAATCCTCAATGAAATTGAAATAACCAAAAGTATTGCTGAAGAAAGAAAATATTATTTGATAGTATAATAAAAGATATTAACAGAACAAGAGCAGTAAAACCAGAAAGTAAAGACAGGATACCACAAACAAAACAAGAGACAAACCAGCGAAGTATAACCCCTATCCCAATTGAAATAGTTATTAGCAAGAATGTTAGCCAACTCATTATCCAAGGCTTCCAAGCTAGGAATTACAAAGATGATGTCTCATAGGGAAGAGAAAGAAGAAACTGATCCTCGTCCAACATTCTGAATCACTGGGAGACTAAGCATACTGGAATGAAAATTACTTGGGCTTGATCAAATTCTCCCAACTCCAATGCACTTTGTGATGAGTTAATAGAATGTACCTGAACCTTTTGATAGTGTCTAGCTGGACTTGACACGTTTGGTTTCATGCTAATTATAATTTCAAATTCTAGTATATAATATTTACATCTTAAAGTTTAAACTTTACACTGACATGATAAAGCTTTTGAAAATTTTAAATGTTACTTTAAACTTCAAGATATTGTCAAGAGTAGCATGAAATTTCACTCTATTGCCTCTGTTTCATGGTAATAATTAAGTTGTTAATATTTATACATCTTTTATACCCCTCGAGCATTCTAAAGGAATAAAACTTGAAAATCTCACTTTTGGATCCTTAAGATCACAGGTAATGATTGAGAAATGGTGGACACATTGTAAGACGCATTCTTTTCTCCCATTCTCTTAAACTATAGTTTCTATTGGCTGATTTATTTACAGTTCTCTTTATTGGGATTTTGGCTGGTGGTTATAAATATTTATATTCGCAGTGTGAGTGTACTTGGATAGAATGAGAGGTAGTTTCCAAATTTAACTACAACTTTCCATTAAATCAACCGAGACCTGCTGATACATCAATAGAAGATGTTGGCAACATCAGCACCTTGTCTCAGAGCTTTATATATATATAATGCTTTAGATTTATTGGTTGTTATAAACCAAAATATTTGTCTCAGGGCTGTCTGACTTTGAAATTCCGATTATACAATATTTATTGTAACAGTATCACCTTCTCTTCTTCTCTCATTTTATGTGACTAACTGTTGCTCATGATAATACCCAGGTCAACGTCTCTATATCTACCAGGAACAGCTGTTGTATTGAGGTAGTACTTCGTTGCTTGGCAGTTGAGGGTGATGGACTTGGGCCACAGGATAACAGTGATGGTGGCATCCTTGCTACTGTCTTGGCAGCTGGTTTCAAAGGTAAGGAAATATAATTTGCAACTAGTGATTGTTCTCTTTCTTTTACTGTGGACACTTAGGAACTACGAACTTGAGTTCTTTTTTCAGGTGAGCTTGTTAGATTTCAAGCTGGAGTTACATTGGATATATCTCGTTTGGATGCTTGGTATTCAAGCAAGGATGGTTCTCTGGAAAATCCAGCAACATACATTGTTCGTGGTCTCTGTCGCCGGTGCTGTCTTCCAGAAATAGTTCTTCGATGTATGCAGGTATTATTTCACACTATGCAACAAATTACCCTGTTTTCTTTTTTATTAACCTCAGCTGTTCTCTTTTATTAGAAGGCCCAACCCTGTTCTCTACTCAAAACTTTCTGAGGAATATAAATCCTCTTTTATTTATTGTTATTTATATTTCATTTTGATGTTTACAATGTTACGAATCCTTGTTGTATTTGCAGGTTTCTGTTTCGCTTGTTGAGTCAGGTGAAACACCTGAAGACCATGATGAATTAATTGAACTAGTTGCTCATCCTGAGTTTGGATTGCTTCAGTTGTTTAGTCAGCATCAATTGCAGGTGACTGATCACTTAGTATTTTAATCATAGCATACACAAATGCAGATATTGAATATGAATTGCAAGATTCCTACTATTGATACTAGCAACCTGCCGTGATTGCAGATAGCTCAAATTGCATTTTGTTATATTGTTTATTATTCTATATTTGGTGAACATGAACTTGCTTGCAAGTATTTCATGTTAGGACTGGATTATGAATTGTTTGAAATGTTATAATATTGCATGGCCAAATGAAAATAGAAATAGTACTTGCATTATTAATGTATAAGTGGTATACCTATTAAAATATCCTGGATCTGGGAGGCATTCCTCCTGTCAAGTCAAACCAGTCCCTATTTTTGTTGCAACAAACACTTTTAGATTTTTTGTTTTTTAGGTAGAAACACATTTAGCTGACAATTTTCCTTTTCCTTCTAAGGAATTTTTATTATTCGAAAGGGAATATTCAATATGCAAAATGGAGCTGCAGGAGGAACCTTTTGCAGGTCATTCTTAGAATTGAATGGATTGCAGCTGTTTTACAGGTATTACCTACATTTTTTTTCCTTCTTCCATTTTCATATTTCATGCTTGAAAATGGGGCAACCACCAGACTAATGGAGAATTGGTCTGAGAACTGCTCTAAGTTTTCTTGGTATAATAAAAGATCATTCAAAACAGTCAATGTATTTCATGTGAATTTGTAACTAAGACCATTCTAAAATTCTCAAAGATTCCAAAATAGTGTTTGTTGCATCTGTCTTGGCCCTTTGCTTGAAATACTTGTCTTTTTCTATTAGGAATTTACCACCTTTGACGGGAATAAGAACTCACATCTGTCCCATCTATGCATTACTTAGGACTAGAGTTTACTGACACTAGTGTTACATCGATTATTTACCAGTCTATTCAACCTCAACTCAGCCTTGACACCAGCTATTTGTGGTCGGATACCTGATCCTGTCCCACTTTATGCTCTATCATCAATCCAATAGATATGGCCTCAATTATTACTTTTATATTTTTTCCATGTGATATATATATATATAACATTTCTTGGTGTTTGCTCTTTAACAGTAAATTGTTTTGAAGGCTCTATTGTTAGCTGCTAGCTCTGGTCCACCAAATGATGCTTGGGCAGTTTTCCGGCTATCTAGAGTTTGAGCATGACGTAGGTGGATTCATCATACATCTATTCATTGTTTTGTTCAATAGAACTTGTAGTTTATTTTTGTACAGGACAGCATGTAAAGACCACAAGACAGCTAATGTTCTTGTGCTATATTATACTTAGTTAAGCCATGTAGCTGTATCAATTATCAAACACCTCGAGAACTAAATGTTATTTGTAAGAACATGTTCTTGGTAGAATTAATAGTCGTCCAAATTGTACAACAAATTTAGGAATACAAATTGTAACAAAGAAATGACAAAAATACTTGTCAAAATACAAACTGTACAACAAATTGGAAAAAATAGGAATTTTATTTCATTTAAAATATAAAAAAATTGTAAATTGAAAAAAAAAATTACATTGTTGAAAAAATAACAAATAATTTAAATAAAATTGAAAAAACTACTCCATCTCCTTGACTTTAATCATCTTCTTCAAGTGTAGTAGTATCATTGTCATCCTTTGTCTTATAATTTATCCTCAATATCTAGCAAATCTTTAAAGTAAATGTCTTTTTTTTTTTTCGTTTCTCATGGAAGAGCAAATGTCTACCCAAGTGGCTATTACCACCCTTGTTATTAAAGTTAAAGCCAATCCTACATTTTTGGCAAATGGCTTTTTTTCCCTTCCCCTCAACCTTCTTTATTTTAAATACTTTCTAAATTTGGCTAGTGAATGTATTATTGGGGAATTGGTTTCGGGAGGATTTAGCCATTTTTTTAATTCTAAAAAATAAAAATTCATTTAATTGCACTTACCCAAATAGTTGGATTACCGATTCAGAATCTCAACTTGATTTCAATGATTGAAGCCTCAAAGGCCAGAACCTCCTAAATTGTTAAGTGTATGACAGTATGAGATGAGAGACCGAGAGAGTATGAGAATTAAGAGAATTTTGAATTGGTGAAATGAGAATAGTGGAGGATAGGGYTATTTATAGGAATTGAAAATAATTCAATTGTCCGAAATACCTTAAAATTAGCCATTTTATAATTATTGGGAGGGGTATTTTGGCCATTATAAAGTTATTTATCACTTTACTCAAATGCCCCCAAAGTCCCAAAGTAGTTATATTATAGGATATAATTGTTTGAGGGGCATTATTGTTTTTTTTCTTCCCCTATAGCCAAAATACATAAATACCCCCCTATATAGCTATTTATAGGCTTATAATTGTTGATTGAGGGGTATTTTTGTAAACGCCCCTAAAAAAAGCTAAAACTATCCATTTGGGGGGATCCCCCAATGGCTAGTTTTCTTAAATGTTAACTCCTGTAACTTTATTTAATTTTATCAAGTCCTCACCAATAAATTCTACTAATTAAACTTATATCCAATAATTTTAATAGTACAAAATGTATATGTTTAAAATCAACATGAAAACATCTATTTAGGTGGTGGGTAAGTATTCAATCATCCAAGTCAAATGGGTCAACCCATAGTGTCAAAGATAAATAATAAAAATAAATAAATTAAATAAATATATAAAATTACAAAAACTATAAGAATTCTACGAAAATTTTTAGAATCTCTTATATTATGTATTTATCATATTAAAAGATATGATAAATAAGAAGTATCTTTATTGATGATGGAAATGAATATAAAATTTAAAAATGGATATGTCAATGATTATATAATAAAATTTTCAAAAATATAGTGACAAAATTATTAAAAATACAGAATTTTGGTAGAAAACATTTGGGTACATCTTTAATATTATATATGGATGCAAACGGATCAGATCGGGTCAGATTCGAATTAGGGTATATTCAAATCCGATTTGACACTACTCATGTTGAATTTGATCCGATTAGGTCGGATAGGACTTGATCTAAATTCGAATCCTATCGGATCTTCAAATCTGATTTGATCCGACTTGTTTTCTTTAAAAATTAATAAATTATTAAAAGAAAAAACAAAAATACAAGTATTTTTTAATTATTTTCATCATATATATACATGTTTTTTATAAAAAATAAATAATATAACAAATTTATAAAAATACAATATAAATAATATATTTATAGATAAATAAATAACATATATATATATGTATTATATATTTATAAATATATAACACATCAAATCGGATAGGAGATTATCCGAAACTGATATGATTTTTTATCAGATCATAGGATGATTTGAAGATCTGACCAGGGGTGATTAGAATTCGACCAAATAGGATTCGGTCTAATCCATTTGCACCCCTATCTATCATATTAAACAAAAATAGCTATGATCAATAAGAATTATTTTTATTAGTGACAAAAAAAATAGAATAAAAATAAACTAACTCGAAAACAAATCTGTTTTTTCTTCAAAGTAGTGGTCAATGGTCCAATCATTTGAATACAATGGGTCAACTAATGATGTCATAATTAAAAATAAAAGTAAAAAATGCATATTAATACATGAATTACATAAAATACAGAAAATTTATAGAATAATTGGTGTATCTCAAATATTACAAATTTATCACATTAAATGAGTATAAGTGTGAAAAAACAATAATTAATTTTATAATTAATTGTGAAAATGGAATAGAATAATTAACGCCACCCAAAAATGGGTCAACATATGATGTCATAATTATATAATAAAAATTCAGGAAATAAATAAAAATATAAAAAAATGTACACATCTCTTCTATCATATATTTATAATATTAAATAGAATTAAATATGATAAATAAGAAGTATTTTTATCAACAGCTGAAATGAAATACAATTTAAGTTCATTAGCACACTATGTTTTGAGTATTTGATAGGTTCTGATAAGGATACTAAGATTATTATTGATATTCTAAATTGTCATGTGCACATTTAGTAGTGAAGTAAAACAATGTAAAACTAGGGGAGCAAGTCGGGTGGGTTGAGTCAGGTTTTAGCTCAACCCAAGCCCACCCCTAAGAATTGGGATTAAAACCCGAGCTCAGCCTGAACCCAAGGTTAAGCCCAAACTATTCAACCCGAGCCCAACCCACAATAAAAATTGATATACATGTCTATGTATGTTAGATATATGCACATATACATTTATATAATTAGGCTATGTTCAGGTTTCTTAAATGCTAGGACCGAGCCCAACCCAAAAAATTTAAAAGCCTAAACTTTTAGGCCCAGTCTCAGCTTGAGGACTGAAAATTTAAGCCCAAATTGTGTAAAATTATGGGCTGGGCCGATCTAGGCTCAGGTTGATCCCGCTCAAGTTACAGCCCTATGTAAAACCCAAAACAAAATTAACATAATTTGCATTAGTTCTTTTCATTTACACTCCCATGCATTTGTATTAGTACAAATAAAATTGCACAGCAACAATAGCTATCACAATTGACATGCAAAACATAATAACTGCAAAAGGTTATCCATCGATTTAACGTATGGATATTTTTAATGCATGCAATGGAGAACTTTACACCATAATAGATCACTAGGCCCCACTCCTCTTCTGGCTATCACAATCGAGCACATAGATTGGTTAGACTGGGCCCAAAATGATGGTCCTTTACCAACTGATGGTGGCTAGTCTCATTCTCAGTTGATAAGTTCTCTCGCTGGTTGTAGTGAAGATTTTGATCGCGATGCAAATGGATTGGATTGGATTCGAATTAAGATATATTTGAATTCTATCGGTAAGTTGGATCTTTGGATCTGATTCAATTCGATTTGTGCTTTTTAAAAATTAATAAATCATTAAAAGAGAAATAAAATATACTAATTTAAATAGAGTGAAAACAAAAAATGCAAGTATTTTTTTATTATTTTCATCATATATATATATACATATTTTTATAAAAAAATAAATAATATAACAAATTTATAAAAATATATTTATAAATAAATATTATATATTATATTATATATATTTATAAATATATAATATATCGGATCAAATAGGGGATGATTCGAATCCGATCCAATCCAAAGATCTGAACAGAAATGACCAGAATTTGACCAAATAGGATTGGATCTCTGATCGAATATCCATTTGCACCCCTAGTTGGGAGGATTATGGGTATGGATAGGGATGACAATTCTACGGGAATTTTTGGGTATTCGACCTGTTCTTACCCTAATAGGACTCGTTTATCAAAACCTTATAGGGTTTGAGACGGGTTTGGGTTTTGACTTTAGGGTATCCAATACCTAATACCCAAGATGCATAAATAGGAACCTATTATATTATATATCATGCACAAATTTATAAATTTTAAATACTAAGATAATTATTATATTATTAATATTTTATTTGTATAAATTTCTTGGGATTAAAATCATTATTTGATGTAAATTTGGATTTGATAAATTGTTTATTTCATTTAATTATAAAATGCTAATTTTAAATATTATTTCTTTTAATTTTTATGTTAATCGTATACATGTATCAATTGCTTTGATGAACACAAAAGTTAATAAAATCTATTTTATTTCATTAAATAATACAAAAGGCGAGATGGCTTAATGGCTTAGACTTGTGTTAAGAGATTTGGCATTATTATTAATTAAATTGGGTTCAAGTCATACTATATGCATTAAGAATTTTTTTTAGTAGAAAACCTCTGGTCAAGTGGTTTAACAGTCAAGACGGTTTGGGAAATTGGGAGAAAAAGTTAAACGGATTTGAGACAGGTTTGAAATCAGAGATACATAGGCGGGTTCAGGAATGGATAGGGCAATTTGCATGATATATCCAAAAAAAAAAATTGATGGTCCTTTTAAAGCTTCTCTTGAGTCCCAACTGTCATCATTTATCCTTCCGGCATCGGCATCATGCAAATTACCATAAAGACTTATAAAGTCGGGATCGAATCCCACCATGGCAATTGGGGTAGAGATACCCTATACTAATGCTGTTGTGGTAAGAAAGTTCAAAGTGGGGGATCTATTGCTTAACGGTGGAATTGGAAACCCACTACCACTAAAGAACAAAGCCCACACGGCCACACCATATGGGAACACCACCACAGTTGAATTATTATTTTTATTTTTTGAAGGTACAGTTGAATTGATTGGACATGGACACACCATTTTCCAGTCGATTACTTGCATGGGGTTATCGATTGAAACATCTCAAGAAAACTATTATTTGGGATAGAGTTGCAAAGTGATATCGGTACCTTGACGAAGCTCTTGATCTCATTGTCCATCTTTTCCTTCTTTTCCCTATTATTATTATTATGCTTTGTTCTGTAGGTTCTTCTTTCTGGTCTGGACTTAAAATTAATTATTTTTCTATCCGAGAAACGTGTTACGTCATATGACCTTATAAGTTATAACCCACCATCCATATGACCAACATTCCTAATCTCCACTTCAATGAAAATCACAAATGCCTCTCTTCTCAGTCGCCAACTGATTTCATTTGATCTGACTTGTAGTGGATCGCTACAACTTGACTAATTTTCAGTTTCTCACCGATCATACCCAGGAAAAGTACTTGTCTAAAAATGTAGGTAACCGCTACAACTGAACAATTTTTTATGATCCAGGGGAGTTGTCCTGGACCCCCTTAAACATTAGCTCGTTGTGTTTATGCATCCGCAAAGCTTAAGCAATTACGTTCTGTTGAGCTTCCCTCCTGTGTTCAAATTTGCCTAAAATGGGGAAGAAGAAAGAAGGAATGAGAGATCGAGGAGGGGAAAGAAAAACAAAAAGAAGATGGATGAGGGCGGCAGCCGGCAGCTGTTCGCTTGGTAGTGGCACAGGCAGTATTGACTCTGTTGGAGTGGAGAATAGCCACTGCCCACTGCATTTGTGATTTGTGATTTGTGGCATATTTAATTATTTTTCATCCTTTTTTTTTCACAGTTGCAATTTGCAAGCTAGCTAAAGGGGTTTTCTAGTAATATGCAAACTAGAGGGTAGCTTTAGTCATTCAGTAAAACTATAGGGGTGTCTTAATAATTGTCCTTCCAAGAACAAATGAACAAGGGTAAAATATAAAAGCCTCCCCTAAAGTTTCTGACAATAATTAAAATCTCTCCTTTAATTTTATTTTAACAAATACCTCCCCTTAATTTTTAAAAAATTCAACAATATCCTCCCTTTCGTCACTAATCCAGACGGAAAACGTTAAAGCTGATGTATCAAAATTTCTAAATACCCACTCTGCCCTTGTGTAAATTATTTTACATACAATTTTACTGTGACATCAATCTCCCATCCCTAAACCCCATCGACTCAGCTTAAACGTTATGCTCTGGTTGTTTCAGCTTGCCAAGAGAATATCCAGGGTTGGAGAAGGAAAAAGCAATGGCTGATCCCGAATTGTAAGTTAACAGACGAAGAAGAATGTAGTAGTTAATGGCACAACATGGCATTGAAAATTAGCAGAACTCGAAGCAATAGAGAACAAGCCAAAAGAGAAGCAGATGAAAGGAGACCAAAGGTTGCATAATCCTGCATCTGATTGTCTATACAAGAAATAAATCTCATCGAATATCAAAAAAAAAAAAGAAATCTCACTCATCTGATTGTCTGTTTCTGTTCCCCACCTTTTTCTTTGTTCGATAGATGCATTCCAAACCCTAATAAAGGTTGCATAATCCTGCATAGAATATTAGAATCTACTCGCTCTATCAACTGCTTTGGGACGTCGCTGCAGCTGGAAGACGGCACTCTCAGTTCTCTCTCACTTTGGTCTTCTTTCTCTATTATCGTCGTCACTTTAATTTCAGTCATTGAAATCAATCGTTTTTTCTCCACAACACTCCATGGTATACTGAGTAAAGAAAATTTCAGTCACTTTGGGACGTCGTTGCAGCTGGAAGACGGCACTCCAGCGGACTACCCTCACTACAGCTACAGTGCTGACTTGTAGCTCCCCAAATATGTTAGAAACACTCCTTTAGTAGTCTCTGTGCCTGTTACGCCGGCCACCTGAAAATAGGCTTCAACCGCCGAAACCCAATGCCCTCCGGGATCCTCTTATTTACTGCCAAGCTGCTCAGTTCCTTTTTGACTTCTTTGCATTTCCCCAATCACAGCCATACATTATTTTCTTTTGATTTGAAAAAGAATGTAAAGTATGGTGAATGTGTTGTTGCTCGAATGAGGATAATTTTGATTTTTAAAAATATTTTAAATGACAATTGTCAGGGATAATTTCGTAACTTTGTATATTTTCTATCTGGATTAATGACGGAAGGGAAGATCTTATTGAATTTTTTAAAAGTTTAGAGGAAATATTTATTAAAATAAAACTAAAGGGGAGATTTTTCTTATTGTCAGAAACCTTAGGGAGGTTTTTGTATTTTACCCAATGAACAATTTATAAAGGAAAACAAAAAAAATCGGCTTTCGACTTTCGAGTTTCGGCTGTTGGCTTGCAAGAGAAATAAAAGTATAAAACCCTTCAAACGAAACAACAATTTGGTCCAAAAAAGAGTCTGTTGGTCAGGGATCTGTATTAGTGGCTCTCTCCCTCTCTGAACTCGAACTGATCGCAGCTCAAACCAGCTCTTATTTTGCTATGGCGAATTTTTAGGGTTCGTAACTACTTTTTAGGGCTTCGAGCATATCTACGACTAAATTGGCGTCATTTGGAGTACCTGCTGGATCCCATATGAGATGGGGATATCTTTCAAAGTGGCTAAAAATGGTACTAGGTTTCGCCTCAAACCCCCTCAAGCAGAGAGTGTTCCTGACGATGGGATAGATACTTCCAAGGACAATTCTCGTATTCTAGCTGGAAACGAACCGACTCCAAGCACCGGCCGGAAGCCAGAGGTACTTATTCATTTTCGGTTTCTCAAATTTGTAGCTACTTCATTTATAGGCGGGGTTGGTGTGTTGCTGAGTTTTGCCTTTCGGTCGTTATATCACGAACTAGAACTGAAAATTCATAATATATGATTTTGTTCTCTGTTATTTAACACGGGGATTATAACTTTGAGATCATTCAGTTCATTTGAGTCAATTGAGACACCTTTATTGCGGTGATAGATTTCTATTACTGCGAAATAGTTCAGGAATTTCCATGAAGCAAGGAGCAGTAAAAGTATGTCTGAGTTACACTTGCTGAAGTTTTTTCTTATGTTAATGTAATTAATACGCTAGTTGGCAGGGTTATGTCATCAATACTTAATAGTTTAGGAATGTCAGATCTTTCATCAACATGTTCGCCTCTTATTAATTAAATATAATTGTTGTTTAGATGGGAGAGACAGCTCTTAGTTGGCTATATTCCATTTTTCAAAACAAGAAGATCATATCTGTTACAATTCTGCTGCAAGGAAAACCAGAAATTTTGGAGAATTGATCGCTAAAGTTGATTGCTTTTCTTGAGTGGATTGGGAGGGTCCTTTAGTCAAAATTATGTCAACTTCGAATTTTTAACTAGTTGGCTGGTGTTATCTTTGTATGAGTTGTCTTTGAAATATAGTCAGGCATTAGACATGTATGAAGTTCACAATTCCAAGCGTCACATTTATACTCGCTGTCTTTTCACTTGTTCTTGCTCTAGAAGTTGAAGGTTTTTGTTCCTGTCTCCTCCAGATTTCAGAAAGTGTCAAGATTCAGAGCATTTTTGTAGGATATATTAGCACCAGGTCATTTTAGAGTGTGGTACTTTAGATTATCCACTGATTTCCTTCTTATACCTTTCTTTTCTAGATGCCTTTGGAGTGTATGTGTCGTATGCGTGCTATTCTTTGTGTTTGGCTTTCTAGCCTTGCTCAATCCATTGGGCACACATGCAAAGTCTGGAATGACCATTTAGCTAGGGGAATCTGTGTATCAAAATTGCACTAATTAGATGAATGTATCATTTTCTTATCATCCAAAGGAATGGTTATTGCCATCAGGTAGGGTTTTTTTTTATGGTGGCCCAGGAGATCTGCTTGGGCTGTTATATGGTAACCAGAAAGAAATTGTTGATCTGTGACTGATTTAAAATATATTTTTTTTCCAGTCCACCCAAGAAACTTCTAGTTTTGCCTTGTAGTTACAAGCTTCTCCTGATTAATAAGTAGACTGGTCCTCCAAGTTGTAAATGGATGTTATCTGTCATTTCCTTATTTTTACTGAAAAGTTAAATTTCTGCAATTCTAGGCTTATATCAGTGGAACGGACGAGTCTGTTGCTGATATCTCTGGTTCTTGTTTACCCTCTGGAGCAGATACTATTTCAGCAGGTTAGAGTAAACAATTTATTTAAATTTCTCCCCAAAAGCCTATACATTCTAGTTATTTGATATTTTTATTTTGGCAGAGCAAGAAGTCTCCTTCACATTGAACCTCTATCTGGATGGATATTCAATACGGAAACCATCAGAGGTTTGTTGACAATCCTTTAATTGCAGATTATTTTTAATAAAAGAAAGATGAAAACAAACAGTGAACCCTATTTTTATATCTTATAGAAGTTAAAGAGATTTTGTTGAAATTTCAGAAGGGCACAACACTTCAGGCTTCACTTCAAGATGTTCCAAAGTTGCATCCATATGATAGGACATCTGAGACCCTTTTCTCTGTAAGTGCCAAGTATCTCTTACATCTTTACGCTTGATGAAAACCTGGGATTTTCTTGAAACGATGTAGGTTTATGTATGAAGAAAGAAATTTGAGAGTATAAAAATATAAGTCTCCCATATTTTTTTCACCTTGACTTGATTTAAATAAGAGTAGGTGAAAAAATTGGTTAGAGATAGCTAATTCTGCCCAGGTAAATAAGGTTTCTAATCCCTTTTGGACCTATCCCCTCTCTGGGTTCATAAAGCTGAATATTGATGGCAGTAGCTTAAGGAACCCAGGGCTCTGTGGTATAGGGGGAGTGTTCAGGAATGAGGAAGGGTTTATTATAGCCATGTTCTCAGGCCCTATTGGAGAAGGAGACTCTCTTAGGGCTAAGATCCTTGCAGCTCTGGAAGGTGCCCAAAGAGCAAGGGAGTTGAACCTAAGAAAATTGGTTATTGAAGGTGACTCGGAGGTGGTGGTGAGATGGCTAAAGGAAGACGACTCTGGTATATGGAATTATGGCAATGAAAGGAAAAGGTTTAAGTGGCTGACTAGGGACATTGAGGTGAAATACAGCTGGGTAAAGAGAACTGCTAACTCACTCGCTGATGGGTTAGCAAGCAAGGGGTGAATAGGGATTCCTTTTTGGGGCTCGTTTCTAATTCTGTATCCTTTGTTTTGTGCTAGTGGGGGAGTTAAGAAAGTTTACCTCCCCCCTCTCTTGTAATTAAAGTTTCATAATCTTAATAAAATTTGCCGTTACTGATAAAAAAAATAAGAATTGGCATGCTGGGTTTCCATAATTTATCTATTCATGGAACAGTGCATTGACTCCATAGTAAGAGATTATCTTCAAGTGATAAACCCTTGCCTATTCAGTTAGAGATGGTGAGTAAACAGAGGATGTCTATTGCCTAAATGAAAATGATAAAGCTAAAATTAATGCATGTTTGATTAGAAACTTGGGTCCTTCAATATGGGGCTGTAGGGTATAAACTAGTCATATCTGTGTCATTTGTGGTTTTATTTGAATTCAATCTTGTCTTGGTGCATATTTTCTAGATCTGGATACAACTAGTCACCCATAGGATCAGAAGATCTTGAGTAGAATCTGAATCCATTTGAACTTTCTGATTGGCACATTTGGGAAATGCTTTAAACTAGTGAATAATTGTTTATGCCATATATTAGCAAATTGCATGCATTTATATGAGATCCATATCCGATTTGGTACATCTATTATAATAATTAGATATGCCATAATTGTTTCAGATCTGGATCATGCTCTCATTCATTATTGGCCCTTTTTAATCAGCTTCATTGTAGGCCTTATTGGTGTGAGGTGATGGTTTAGTGGATAATCACAACAGAATAGTTTCATAATTTATATATTTTACTGTTAGTTTGACAGTATGATCTTAACAGGCCAAAGGTCTTTTTTTTTCCACAAGGCCTTAGCCTCTGTTATGAACTTAAGTTAGCAACTATGGAATTGAGGGGAATTAGGATGGCAGTACTGATGGTTGCACAACCTGCTCTCCTCAAAGGACAGGATGGAGACTAGCAATAAGCATTAGAGGCAGACATTATGTGCATAGGCCAAGTTTATGACAAAGTAGTGAAGAAGGGAAAGTTCTTTGGTTTTTCAAAAGCTCCCATGTGTTATTCCTAGATAACTGCCATGCTGACTATACTAGAATGCTAGGCATAACATGCATTTGATGTGACACTGGATGCTTAATGGACAGTTCTAGGGTATGCTTTATGGCATGCACCTTTCTAAAATTAGATGGTATGTAGTACTAATAAAAAAAATATTAATGCTATAAATCATACCATGAAAAAATTGTTGATGTTAGGGGATTATGAAAATTGAAAAATGATACTTAGCTTAAAAGTTATATATAAAAACCTGTGTCAGGCTGTCAGCATATTAATGTTTCTAGTGTACTCATAACTTTTTGTTGTTCATATGTACTTGTAGGTTGTATTTGATTTTGGTAGTTGGTACCATTGTCTCCATATTAACTGTTTTCTTTTAGTATATTTATTATTTATTTTGATTTATCCTTGGTTGGAGGCAATTGAGTCTGGAAGATTACCTGGAGATATTCTGGATGACATACCCAGCAAGTATTTTGATGGGACAATTCTGTGTGAGGTGAGTTTTCTGCATTCAATTGTGTATTCTGCTCTTAGATTTTGTTATCCATTGTGCTAATATTATGTCCCATAGGCCATGGCTTAACACTACTTGTATGAAGTGTCAGGGAATGTAGTACAAAGAAGCTGGTTGGAACCATCAGTTTGCTGGGTCTCACCTAGGAGACTTTCCAGCCAAATTATAATATGGCTAAACGTTTGCAATCATATTTACTTATTTGTGGACAAATGACATCTTATTTACTGTTGACTAGATGATTATGAATACCTAGTCAAATCCTTTTCTCTGATATATTATTCTAATCAATTTAGTGTTGTTGAAGGTGTGGGACTATAGGAAGTGTGCATCTGAACCAGGAGATAATCTCTCCTTTGAAGGATCCCCCATTATTAGTAAAGTGCGCCTTAGGATGTCCTTGGAGAATGTTGTGAAGGACATTCCTTTGATCTCAGATGATTCTTGGACTTACAGTGATCTAATGGTCAGTATACCCTACATCTTCATCATGAACATCAAGATTTACACATTTATCCATGGAAAAAATTAAGAAATTTATGATTCTTTATCTTTTCTGTAGGAGGTAGAATCCCGGATATTGAAAGCTCTGCAACCAGAACTTTGCCTAGATCCTACCCCAATGTTAGACAGACTTTGTGGTGACCCAATTCCAACCAAGGTATGTATTAATTTGTTTATCAACTTAGGTAAATGGAACTGATAAGGCCTGTCTGAACTCTAATTAACCTTATTTGCAGCTCAATCTTGGTCTGGGCAGTGCTCGCAAGCGGAGATTGGGGCAGATGCCACAAGTGACTGTGGCATCTAATAATCAAACCCATGGGAAAAAAATATGCATTGACAGGGTGCCAGAAAGTTCAAACTGCAGGTCAGGGGACCCTGGATCCATGATGAGTGATGCAACCCTACAACATGCTAATGAGAGTATAACTGCACAAGGTATTTTACCAAGCAATACACAAACCTTCAGACTTAAGGGCACTGAACCAGAGGCTGCTGGACAAGCATCACCTTCACTTTCCCACCAGTCAAAATATCAATTGGGAGTTGGTCATCAATTGGGACCAGGGTCTGTTGTAAGCTCACCAGGAACTTCCTCTACTGGCCAGGACATGATCTCATACACTGAAACTATGAATGCTAATATCTCTTCAATTCATGGAAAGAGAGAGCACCAAGATACCCAACTGACAACCAATAGTCATAAGCGAATTAGGCAAGCACCAGCTGCTGCTGATGGTTTTCAACCACAGCCAGTGGGACAACATATGGACTGGAGAAGCACACTTCTACAACAACAGCCAGAATCCAAAGGTATTCAGTATACCAGTACTGGTAGTCAGAAGTATCCACAGCAGATGCTTGAAGGGTTTCGAAATCAGGAGGCAGGAGTGTCATCATTCTATTTGGGGCAACAAGGGATGAGATATGGTGTCAAGCAAGAGAGGCCCGAAATGGAGAAATTGGAGAAGCTGGAGTTTGATAGGAGCAAAATTGATCCACACATGCTGGAAGAGAGCAACCAAATGGACCTACAGCAGTCACGGTTGCAACAGAGAGTACCACAACCTCCGTTTATGAGGTCCCATTTGTCTCCTCAGACTCAGTGGAATAACCTTGGACAAGTAGTTGACAGAGATATGAGGAAGGAGGACCAGCTTCAGAAAAGAAAAGTACAGAGTCCCCGAGTGTCTGCCACTGCTATGGTTCAATCTCCAGTATCATCAAAATCTGGGGAATTTTCCAGTGGTTCCTTGGGAGCCCAATTTGGTCCAGTTACAACAACAGCAGCACTTGGATCATCAATGAAGGAGAAAACAACTGCCATTTCTGGTGTGACAGTTGCTGGAACCCCATCAGTGGCATCCAGTCCCAATGATTCCATGCAGCGGCAACATCAAGCAGCAGTGGCTGTTAAACGAAGATCCAATTCTCTCCCCAAAACCCCAGCCATGAGTGGAGTTGGATCCCCTGCTAGTGTCAACAACATTAGTGTTCCCTTGAATGAAAAAAGCCCTTCAGTTGGCACTCCACCGTTGGCTGATCAAGTTATTCTAGAGAGGTTCTCAAAGATTGAAATGGTGACCCTGAGGTATCATGCTAATCATATTACTAATGCACTGGAATTCAATGTTGCATATTATAACATGATTAACCTTGAAATAAATCTAATCCTCTTTTATCTCTGTTTACACATTGGTATGGTGGTTTATACCAAGTATTTATTTGTCACACCAAGGAGATCTTCTTGGTGAAATCTACCTGATTAGTTGATTACAGCAGTCCACTTAACCGATCCCTTGACTCCCCACCCCAAATAAAAATTAAAAAAAAAAGGAACAAATTGTTCTACCTGATCAGTTGTTTTACCCTACTAGGTAATGCCAGGGTCAGGTTTTGGACCATTTCTTGCCCAACCAACCTTTTGATCAACCCTGAACTGACCCAACGGTGCCAATCTAAATGTATTCAGTATTCAGTCCTCAACCCAAGCACAGGATCAGGCTGAGTTGGGATAAGTGTGGTTTGGCCAGTTCAGGTTTAGTTGGACTTCCTGAAATTGTCACGTCAGCTATATTGAGCTTAGCAATCTCACATATTGTCCAACCCCTGGTCTTAAAGACTTGCCTAATGGCTGGAGTGGATCAGCCATGTCAGATTATGTTTGCAGTTTGCATCCATCCATCTTGTACAGTTGCACCCATGGGATTAAAATCATTTGATGATCAAAATATGGCCTTAAAGAAGTCCTTGCTGGGGCATGTCGCATATTTGATCTGACAGTTTGTTATGCATTATGACACCAGAAGGCTGTCATTTTCCTTTCCTGCCTCAACCTCTTTTTAGATGCTAACTTCTGCAATATCTTTGATCTCGTCCTCTTTTTACATGTTCACTGGATGATCTTTTCAGATATCAACTGAACTACAAAAAGAACAAAGTGGATAACCACCACATGAGGAAACCTTTATCATATTCAACTAAACAGCTTTCATTGTCTCTCTCCACTGCCCCCAATGTTGAAGATCTCAAAGATGCAACCTATATGAGGTCATTGTCAAAGTCACTTATTGGCGGAAACATGAATATTTGCAAAATACGGGTACTAGATTTTGTGCAGACAGAACGTAGATTTCAAGGTTAATTTTTCTGCTTAGCTAAATTTCTCTCAGCTCAACAAGTCTTGGTCATCTATGCTTCTTGACTTTTATACTTCCTCCTCTACAGGGAATGCTGTCACTGTTGTTCCTAAAGCACAAAGTAGATTATTTATGTCAGAGAAGCCAAATGGTAGAACAGTAGCAGTGCATTATGGGGACATAGATGACACTGATCTTCTAGCTGTGGAGGATTATCTTCCTACACTGCCTAATACTGTTAGTACCTATCATTCAACTGGATATATTGTCTTATGAAACCTAGTCATGTGTAAACTTAAATATATTTTTGTGTTTCTGTTCTGATGATTGGGTAGGTCCTATCAACAACCTGATATTATGAACCCTTCTGTTGGCATGTCATCTCTTGGTTTATTTGTGTTCTAACTACTAAAATGTCATTTACAAGATAATTATTATCATTCAATGGACAACAGCCTTTTGGATATTTGTTTATTAAGCAGACTATTATCAAACTGACCAAAAAGATTACAAGTCATTAGATGATAACTCTCATTACTTGCAATATCTGGTCTGTGGTGGTGCACTGATTTGATGGTCAAGTTGATAGAACATACCTGTTCTCTATCCATGATTTTTTTTCTTTTTCAAGCATGTTTTTTTCTTCTTTTGTTTCAACTGATCTCTTTGATCAAATTCTTTGTGCCAGAACTTTGCAGACTTGCTTGCAGCCCAGTTTAGTTCACTGGTGAGTCTGCTCAATGCATGTTGCGGCTTTCATATTTTAAGTTTCCCTTGTGAATGGTTCTGTATGCATTCATTTTACTTCATGTTTCCTTATACTTGTATAGATGATTCGCGATGGATATCAACTTAAAGAAGATCAAGTTCAGATAAGACCAATTCAAATGAATGTTTCCTCCAATAATCAGCCTGGTACTTGTGCAACTACTTCTGAAAGTGCAGCAGCTGAGATGCAACAATACCCAGAAACGGTTGCTGGTCAGTCATCTACCACAGTATCAGCAGCACCAAGTAACAGTGGGACTGCATCTCTGAATTCACCCCCAAATATTTTGGCAAACACACAGATGCTACCTCCTGGAAACCCACAGGCCTTACAGATGTCTCAAGGATACTTGCCAGGGGTTGCAATGTCTAACAGGCCTCAACAGCTAGACCCACAACAGTCCCTTCAGCAGCAGCAGCAGCAGCAGCAGCAACAGCAACAGCAGCAGCAGCAGCAACAACAACAACAACAACAACAACAACAACAACTACAGCAACAAAATCAGCATTCCCTGGTTCAACAGCATACTCAGATGCAGAGATCACCAATGATGCTTTCAGCAAATCCTCTCTCCCACTTGAATACATTTGGCCAGAGTTCGAATGTGCAGATGGCTAACCACATGGTGAACAAACCCTCTCCTCTCCAACTTCAGTTGTTACAGCAGCAACAGCAACAACAATCACAGTCACAATCACAGCCACAACCTCAGCTACTACAGCAGCAGCAACCACAACAGCAACACCAACAGCAGCCACAGATGCAGAGGAAAATGATGATGGGACTTGGGACAGCCATGGGTATGAACAACATGGGGAACAACATGGTTGGCCTACAGGGCCTGGCCAATGTCATGGGTATGGGCATGGGAGGTGCAAGGGGAATGGGGGCAGCTGGGATATCAGCTCCAATGGGACCCATCTCTGGTATGGGCAATGCTATAAGTCAGCAATTACGTTCAGGTGCATTGTCCCATGCACAAGCTGTTGCGTTAACATCAAAACTCAAAATGATGCAGAGCAGAGGAGGCATGTTAGGAGGCCCACAGGCAGGCATTGCAGGAATATCTGGAACTGGGCAGTTGCTGCCCAGCTCTGCTGGTCTTCCGGTGCTGGGGCAGACACTCAACCGGGCAAATATCAACCCCTTGCAACGCACTGCTATGGCATCAATGGGTCCACCAAAGATGGTTCCTGGGACCAATTTCTATATGAACCAGCAACAGCAACAGCAGCAGCAGCAGCTACAACAACAACAACTACAGCTGCAACATATACAACAGCAGCAGCAACAACAGCAGCAATTACAGCAGCAACAGCAACAGCAGCAGCAGCAGCTACAACAACAACAACTACAGCTGCAACATATACAACAGCAGCAGCAACAACAGCAGCAATTACAGCAGCAACAGCAACAGCAGCAACTACAACAGCAGCACCTACAACAACAGCAGATGCAACAAATTAGTTCTCCATTACAGGCTGTTGTTTCACCTCCACAGGTGGGCTCTCCATCAACCATTTCAATTCAGCAACAACTGAGCCAACAGCCACAGCAACAGAAACAGTTCAGCCCACAGCAGATGATCCAGCAAACACCAATGAGCCCTCAGCAATTGAGCTCAGGCACAGTCCAGCCAATTAGTGCTGGAAATGCAGGGGCTGGACCAGCAAGCCCACAGTTGAGTTCACAGACCCTTGGCTCAGTTGGTAGTATCACGAGCTCTCCTATGGAACTACAAGGTGTGAATAAGAGCAACTCTGTCAGTAACATGTAGGCAATAGTGAAATCCTATTGAGCTGCTGGGTGTGTAGAAAATTTCTGTTTGTAACATATGGACAATGGTGAAAGATTGAGACTAAAGTATTATGGATTAGGCAACTTAGAACTCTGCAGTGAAACCTCTCCAACTTAGAACTCTGCAGTGAAACCTCTCCAACTTAGAACTCTACAGTGAAACCTCTGTAGTTTGGTCATGGGATAGCATTAATATTCCTCAGCTGGGTTCAGCATCTTTGGGTGTCCGGACCCTGTAAAAAGATGGTCTTAAAACTAGTTGTGTTTTATTTATTATTTTTTTTTTTGTAAGTAAAAGAGGTGGAGATGTTCCTCTTGTTTTTTTCTTTAATTTGTAGACAAACATTAGTGAGCATGAAAAGCACTGGAGGTGTATTTTCTTGCTGACAGGAATGAGCAGTTATTAATTTATAATTTATGCGGGAATGTGAGACATTGGGACTGACGTTACAACCAGAAGTTTGGCCCAGTGTTCGTTATGCCGGTATTGTAGTAATTTATCTGTATTTGCTTGCCAAGAACAATTTAAGCAAGAAAAAGCTTATAGGCTCTGATTGTGAAATTAATACACCCCAAAAATCCAGATAAAATTTATTCTTGTAACACTCACTCTGGTGCGTCAATAAAGCCTGTTTGATCGCATATTCGCAACTAAACGAAACGGGCTTGATGGGCAGGTTTCTTTCCTTTTGACACGAAGTATCTTATTGAACATGGAACCTGCTAGTCAGATAACACTGGGTCTTCAAAGTTCAAAGTTCAAACTCGATTTTGGCATGATTTCAAAATAACATGATGCCCCTTAATCAACAGCCACTTGTCGGCATAATCTATTTATAATGCTTAGGTAAAACTCAGCAATAAAAACCAAAGTTTCTTTCTTTTTTTTTTTTGATCAATAACAAAAAACCAAAGTTTCTTCATAGGCAATAAAAGCGAAAAGCATACACCTGTAATTTGTTACTCGAAAATGAAGTCATTATTTGCCTCAAGCCGAAGGATTTCTGAGAGAAACGAAATTGAGGTAAACGTATATAGGCTACCTGTGTATGCATGGGAGGTTGAACGGTGATGGCCTATTTTCTTGCCAATATTGGACATTTGGTGCAACAAGCAACAAAATTTAGAAATTTGTACTCATTAGTCAATACGTGATTCGTGCGAATTCAATGAAATGCTCGTTTCAAGTTGCAACGAAAAGATTAAGGTGAAAACTGACAGTATAATTTACCACTTTTCGGACTCTGAAATGTACTGAGCTATATTACTGACTTAGGTGACTACTGAACTGAGGGACACCAGATAAAAAAATGGGAAATATCTACTGATTTCAGATCTTTAAATTTCTTAAAGCTGCGTTTGTTTGTGATGAAATACGGATTAGTGTTATTCATCATTCCAGTCCGTTTTTTAGCGGCGTTTAGATGGAGTGTAGTTAAACATAAAAAATCGTAGTAAAACTCTACTCATGTCGAGTTTTACATCGATGTAAATACAATGTTGATAAAAAACGATGTAAATATTTATATTGATAATCCATTTACAGCAGTCCAAAAATTTAAACCGATTGGTGTACAACTCCATTGATGTAATTTTATTTTTACACCGCATTAAAAGTAGCCTAAATAACAATCTAGGACGTCAGTATTCCTGCCCATTTTTATCTGCTACTTTCCAAACATAGGTTAGTTTCATATATTGCAGTAGACATTGTTTCTCAACCATTCAGGTTTCTTTCTTCAACATTACCAGAACATTGGGAAAATTAGGAAATATGAAACGTGTTTTTGATTATTTGGTTACTTATAAAATGAAGGGAAATCAGCAGTTTCAATGAAAACTGTTATTTAGAGGCTGTGTTTGGAAACAATACAAATTAGTGTGAATGTAAATATGTAGTGTAAAACGGTTCATATAAATTGCAACTCGATCTTTAAAGGCAATAGCTTTCAGTGTTTTTGTTTTACACTGAAATTTACTTTCTTATCAAACAGACTTTTAAGGCAATAGCTTTCAAACTCGATCTGAATATTCATGTTATTTTGATTCCAACAAATCAAAACAATGCCATCTAAGTAATACCAAAATCCACTTTGCTAATTTTATAATTTTTTTTTTATTTTTAATTCTACATAATGCCATCTAAGTAAGCACATAGCTCACATTTCAGGAGATTTTCCTAACCTAACTTTCTCCACTCGACTTTGAATGAAGCACGATCCTAGGTCATGCTATACTAGAATTCCTTCTGGGTTATATTTTTTCTGCAACCTAATGAACTATTTCCTAACTATTAATCCTTATTCTTCACCTTCGAAGAAGTTTGAAGTTTGAGAATCCCACGTAAACAAAGATGATGCGGCAATTTGAGAAGCCCACATCAGTGGTTTTGGTCTATTTTCTTCCATTCTAGTAGACGTTTTTGAAACAGTTTGAGAGCTAGATAAAGCAAGTATTATCGGCTCTTTGACATCACTTTCCTTTTGTCAATGCTCCATCCTTTATTTTGCTAACCATAGATTCATACTTGGTATGTGTTTGGAATCGTGGAAAATCAAGAAACCAATGACAAATTTATTTATCGACACTTAGGCACCATTAGGCACCACATCAACAAGACAGTGAATAAATGCCTACCCGTTGGGAGAAGTGCTAAAATGAAGCTTCCCCCATTATGTGTACAGATTCACATAATGGGGGAAATGTTGAAGTGGCACCTATGTGGGAGCATTTATTTAATAAATGCTCATAGTTCCAAACACCCTCTTGACCACACCAAAACAAGGGTGAGCCTGTTGTGGTTGTTTTTTGTTATTCATTATATTCTAGTGGTAGTTTTGCTTTGTTTATGGCACCGTGAGCACTAGATCGAGCAAACTTTTTAAAGATATGTTATTAGTTCTCTGACATTCTATCAGTGCTCCCTGTTTTGCTAACCGTACTCATACTTGAATATGCCAAAACAAGGAGAGAATGCTGCAATCGTTTTTATTTTCATTTTTTTTTTTTAGTTTCAAAGGGGAAAAACTCTTTCAAAGAGTGCTGCAGTCATTTTTGGGCAATCAAACTCTTGGTATTCGTAGGGAGGCGTAAGAACAATCAAACTCTCGGTCACCAATCCTTTTTTCAACCTCAAACATAGGTATGCATTTCACACCATTTCCAATAACTACGGGTTGTTCTCAATGTTCATTATCGTCAACAACTTTGACAAACACCATTTAGGAGTGAAAGGGATCAAAACAAGGGTGAATATCTCACCCCCAGTTTCTATATTTCACCACTGTGTTGAATAGGGGTGCTCACGGTTCGGTTAACCAAACCGTGGGGCTTTTTCTTGAACCAAACTGGTACCACTGATTTTTGGAAAACCAGTAACCATAACTGAACCAAAACCAGTCGGTTAACTGGTTGACCAATTTGGTTTGTTGGTTTTTTGTTTTTTTATTTTTATAATATATAATAAAAATTATAAATATATATAAAATATTATATTTTAATTAACAAATAGTATATCATACATTATAAATATATCAATTTATATGTATAATGCATATTTATTAATTTATAATATATATAATATACATAAATATATATAAAATATATAGAAATAGATGTATATTGATAGGTTAGGTAAACCGCCGATTTTCTATATTGGTAAACCGAAACCAAACCGGTACCTTGGTTTTTTAAAAACACCAAACCGAAACCGATCCAATCGGCTCAATTAACCAATTTTCAGTTCGGTTTCGATTGGTTCAGTTTTTCGATTTTTTTTTTTTTTTGCTCGCCCCTAGTGTTGAATGACACCATTGGCTTCATTTGACCCATAACCATATAAATAAACAATTTTAATAACAAACCAGTACAATTTCATCCTTTTGAACCGGTCTAAACTAACATAACTATTAATAACCGGTTCAGTTTTCTTTTAAGTAATAACTATTAATAACCAATTAATATTGTTAATTTCTCAAAATAATTAACGATATTTAAAACCAGTCCAAACCAGCCGCATTAATAAATTATAATAATTACAGTAATTGATAAATAATCATTATTTATCAATTCAAGCTATTAATAACCAATCACTACTATTAATTTCTGAAGATAATTAATGATATTTAATTTATTAGTAAATTACTTGACACATCAGTTTCATTTGTTTTTATATAAATTAGTCATTAATAATCATTTATAATTATTGACTAACTGTAAATTATGAAAATCATACACAGCCCAAAAATGATTTATTACAACTTCAAATAATTATTGAGAATCAAATATTATTTTTTAGTTATTTGATAAAATTAATTTGCACTGATTAAATAATTATAATATTTTTATTTATTTTTTACTTATTTGATTTAATGTTTTCAGTAATTATTATTATTATTATTATTATTATTATTATTATTTTCAGTAATGCATTAATTATAACTTTCAGTAATTAATAATTTTAATTATTTTATATTAATATTTTTATATTACTGAAAATACTAGAACAAATTGGTTATTTGAAGTTTCAAACTTTTAGTATAAAATAGTTTAATTTTGGAAAATTACTAAATTTTAAACATTTTTTGTATAATTAATGAATAATTACTAATAAATTGCTGATTATTGATATTTATGAAAATTACAGACATTTTCAAGAAATAATTTATTGATATTTGAATAAATTAATCATTATTTTTATACTATTTGTATTTTAAATTATAGATTTCAATAAATTTAATATTTCAGTGACTAATATTTTCAATTATTTTATATTAATATTTTTTTGTTATTGAAAATATTAAATAAATTGATTATTGGAATTTTGAAAAATTTTAGTATAATTTAGTGTAACTTCAGAAAATTACTGTAATTTGAAAAGAAAATGCTTGTATAATTAATTAATAATTACTGATATGTTACTGAATTATTATATATTTTTAAATACAAATAAAATACTGAATTAATGGATTTTTCTATGCATCGCACGGATCCCCGCTAGTAAATACATAAATGACTACAATCAGGAAAGTTGAAAACAACTCAGCCGTTATAGTATATCGGGTTCAGATTTTCATATCCACAGAGCTGCCATCACCAGAAAAATGGAACCCTCCCCAACCAAAATTTATCCACTAAAGGCCTACTGATGTAGTAGTGATGGACTCATCAAACATCTGGGACTCGAACAACATGGTAATCTAAATCAAAAGCGTTGAGAATTTTCTTATCTTTGGAACTGGGTCTGAAAAGTGACGGCTAATAATCCTTGTCTTTAATATTCATGTTTTGCCAGCAACCCGTCTCTTTTTTGTCATTCCCTTCTGTTTCTGATCCTTCTTCCTTTTCTTTGTATGAACTTGAAACGATCTCCCAACCAAAGATGGTTGTTCTTTTAATCCAAAACTCCTTGCCACATGCCCCAAGTGAAGTTTCTTAACCATAAAAATTCTCTTTAGATCACCTCGGTGAGCAGCATATGCACGAACCCAAGAGCAAAATGCATCCTTGGCCAGCTTCTTCAGCCCTGACTGAAATCATACAGCAGGCACATTATTATAGTTAGATTGGTCAGTGAATATAGCTAAGTATCAGGCAAAAAGAACTAGGAATTTTCAGTACTTTGTGGAGAAGCATAACCAGGGGGTTTGAACCAGTCAATAATGACATGTTCCACCAAAGAATACTGTGTCAAAATCAATTGTCAAACTTGTTATTATAGTTCTGGTTATCGAATGATATTGTCCAAATGAAATCAATGACACATAAAGGAGACAACTAGGCATTCATGTTACCGGTAATTTATAGTTCACAAAAAAGGGAACGCACGTTGCCAATATCCTGTTTTTCCTTTGCCACTTTACATGATTTTTTAACCCAGGATTATTATCATTAGCTTCAGTTTGCACCCAGACTTCAGATTAATAATACATCTGCCCTTTGTTTCCTTTAAGCAAAGCAATAATTTTTCTAGGAAGAAGATATTTATATCAAGCATCACTTCTTTTTGGAGAAATATGATAGGATCATCCTAGGCCTTTTGAAGGCCCATCCCAGATGGAAGAAAGCCAAGCAACTTCTGCTTTTTTGGGATTTACGTTGTACTACTTTATGTTAAGTGTTGGGTGTGTGGATCTTTTTACCCTACTGTTTGAGGGTGTCTTGTTTATGGCTGTATGATCTTGGTCGGTATTTTCAGGTAATGCCTTGTCACCTTTTATCTATTTCTCTTTTTTCTTTTAACGAAATTCTGTTTTTACAATAAAAGACTCTGATTTGGCAGGATGATAATTCTTGGAATCTAGGCTGATTTGACCTATAAGGGTATAAGGGTGTTTATGTCATTTTATTTATTTGTAGTGGGATCCAGTCAAGAATCTTTTGTTTTGCCATTGTCTAATTTGTTCCGCCCAAAACTTTTCATCCATAGGAAGGAATGAATAAAAAAATGACCATTAATTTCTCTTGCATGCATGCTTTATGTGTGATATTGGCATCCTAGAGTGATTCTAGGTCCCCTGGGTGTGAATGTAATCCTTAGTTTTCTGTATTATTCTTCTCCAAACCATAAACACTATTGCGGCCATCTAAGATCCAATCAAAACTCAAGTTTGGGACCAAGGTTGTAAGACTCGGCCTAGACCGAATGGTCAGACCCTGAAAATCAGGAACTGGTGGCCTTTCCAAGTCCTGGTTAAATGATGGTTTATAAGGGTTTGAAGGGCGAAATGGGTTAATCACCTGGGTTTTAGTCCACTTCAAGTCTTACAACATTGTTTGGGACTGGTATAGGATCAAGCTAACAGTAAGTGAGAAAATTCAGAAAATCCAATGTTTGGGACTGGTATAGGATCAAGCTAACAGTAAGTGAGAAAATTCAGAAAATCCAACATTTTTCTTTTGTTTTTGCCTTTCTCTAAAGTGAAAATCTATGATGCCGGAAAGATATGGTATGGAAAGAATTTTGACCAATCAAAATCCACCCATGAATTTTGATAAATAATACCTGATTCTCTACTGCATTAATGATTCCAGTTTATTGGTCAGTTGCTTTTTGGATATCATATCTTTTCCATATCATAGTTGAACCCTTCTCTAAAACCCTAGTTGCTCTTGTTCCCAGACCATTTAGATCCCCAATTTAACTAAATCACCTCCATACAACTCCAATACAAACTTACAAATTTCATACCAGAATTCCCCCTAGAACTCTAGTTAATGAAATCTCTTGCTTACTAAAACTGCAATAAACCTCACCAGTTCATCCTAAACACTCTAAATCCAACCTTGCACAGTTGCACCCCCCATGATACATAACTAAATCCCTTAAATTTCGAAAATTCAGCAAGCTACCCAACTGAATTTTCACTTTGAATCTCACTCTAGAGCCTCTTACCCTATTCAGTTTTACATTAGCATATCAAAGCATGACATCTTAAAAGTTGATTATTTCAAAACTCAAAAAAAAAAACAGATGTTCCAACTTGTAGATTGAATTCAGTCGTGCTATTCTAAAGTTTCCACTTCAGGTATCGATCTCTACTCCCCAAAAAGAATGACCTCCATCTTTGGAAATATTATTCCACATTAAAAAACATTAAATTCTGCAAAGCAAGATCTTCTTTAGAAAACCTTGCTAATGGCTGGGAACAAAACAGAAATAGCAAAGCATCCATATGAAAATTTCCCACCCTATATTAAAGGATTGGAGGGTTACTATTAATTGGGAAAGGCATTGATACAAGGGAGAAGGGATATGACTGGATGTGAACCACATGAGTCAACATATCGCTAATCCAAACGGTCCCCCATCTTATGTATAGCCTACACTAGCCACATGAATCCTACGGATGGCAGAACTACATGGGTCATCAAGGAGATTGCTACTTGACTCATAAATATGTCAAGGAAGCTTCCCTACAAAACCACACCTATTTGTGCCATGTTAAGAAGTCCTGTGGCCAATCCAGACTATCCATCTGATGGGGGTCTACTAAGTTGGACAGATATTCAATTCCACAGTCCATATCAACCTAACCAAACGTATTGTTTTTTACCTATCAATAACAGTTGTCCATGTTATTAGTTTCTAATATTAAAGTTGTCCATAAAATGGCTTTATCTTACACACATGACAAGGCCTTTTGGGCCAAAAGTTGGAGAAAAATGCATAGACTGTTCTTTAAGTTCCACATTAAAAATCAATAAGTGAAATGATCAACATGTATGCCTTATGAAAATTCAGTACTCTTTAGCTTAATCAACAATTTAATCAAAACTATGCAAGAGCACAAGGTTGTACCTCTGCCAAAATGAAAGATTCAAGTGCCTTCTGTAGAAACAGCACCCAAGGATGTGTCTCTACTGAAACAAATTTATTGACATGGTGCTTTTGATCATACAAGGGAAAACTGTTCAAGATCTTGAGAAGAAGATACTCATTCAACAGCACGCCATGCTTTTGTAAGTCCTGCAAATAATCCATTTCGACTGGCTGTAGGAATAACAATGAATCTCCTCTTTCACCTAATCGAGCAGTTCTTCCAACCCTGCATAGTGATCATGGATGAAGGTTGTTTAGCAAGTCTTGACAGACTCTTAGTCCTATCAAAGTTAAACCACCAAGGGTGCACATGCTGTGTGGACAGGGGGATCCTTAAAATAAATAGCTTTTTTCTTTATATGGCCCCCATTCTCAACTAACTCAAAGGTAGTCCCAAATGACCCTCATCCCCACCCCCCACCCCCACCAGTGTGAGAACAAAAATAATAAAATAGAGAAACAAAATGCCTTGCTGCCATCTTACATAAGTGGCATGTGCATGCAAATGGTTTCTCATCTCTATTTTTTTATCTTTTGATGGGACTCATTTGCTGCAGTACCATATAATGCAGCACATTTAAATATATTTAAGCTATGCAAGGATAGATACAATGAGACTAATTCACCACAGACAACTTTAACAGGAAGATAACATAGCAAAGTAGAACTAGCTACTGTGTGAAAATTAACAAACTCCAAGCAAAATGAGAGGGTAGATACCTATGGACGTATTCCGTAGACTCCCCTGGAGAATCATATTGAATGATGCATCTAACTTTGGGGAAATCTAGACCTCTTGCAGCAACATCTGTGCAAAATAAGAGAGCTGATTTCTCTGCCTTGAAGCCTTGAAATGTAGTTCTCCGGTCTTCATGATCCATGTTCCCATGTAATCGAAAAGTTCTACACCTGACAAACATCTGCTTCTGGACTAATTCTGGCTGCAACTTAGATGGCCACTTGAAGTCACGTAACAGTGAATAGTGAAAATCCACCCCATCACATGTTGAAAAGAACACCACAATCTGCAAGATAAACCTCTGTTTATCTAACCAGTGGATAAGTATAACAAAAATGATAAAACATGGTAGGCACAAATAGGCATTTAGAGCATGGAAAAGTTACCATAGGACCAAAAAATGAGATCAAGCTGCATAAGTGTATCCGCAATGAAAAAGAAAATGAGGGATGGATTCATCCTCAACTCCACAAAGACTACAAATGCTATCCAAGTCCTGACTACTAGAAATCAAATGACTGACTATGAGGATTATATCAGGGGTGGTTGTCCACCTCTAAAGTACAAAGTGTTGGGCAGACCCTACTATCCTAGCCCCTAGCAATAATTTGTAGAAAGACTTCATTTAGAAAAAGTTGAAAAGTACACTTATAGTAATTCAGATAATGCAAGAAAAGAAGAAAAGAGAGAAAGAAAAAGAAAAAGAAAAGAAGTTTCAGCAATAGTTTGTGGAAGAATAACAGAAGGGAAAAGAGAAAAGAAGAATTCAAACCTCTCTCTCTAGCCCCTTTCATCACTTTTATTAATAATTCCAAGTCTGAGTACAATTGCTTGGATGCCCTTAAAGGGGCGGCCAGCACTAAAGAGATGATTAAAGAAAATAAAAGAAGGCCCATAACTAAGAAACATAACTTTTAAACACTACTTAAAAGAAATAAAGAACACTAGGGCCCATTCAACCCATTCTCACTACACTCCCCCTCAAGCTGAGCATAGATGTCAATCATGCCCAACTTGCTTACATAATGTTGAAGTTTTGCCCTTGGGACTCCCTTAGAAAATCTGCTAGCTGCTCTTCTAATGCAATGAAAGGTTCTATCATGCTGAACTGGGTTGTGAACAATGTTAATAGTAGCTTGGTTATCACAATACAATATCAATGGCTCGTCACATGAAACACCCATCTCATTAAGGAGAGATCTAAGCTACAACAACTCAGAAACACCATGGGCCATAGCTCTATACTCTGCCTCAGTTGAAGATCTAGCAACCACTAATTGCTTTTTGCTTCTCTAGGAAACAATATTTCCAGCTACCATAGCACAATATCCTGATGTGGATCACATTTCCTGCCCAATCAGCATCTGTATATGCTTCTACCTTCATGTGTCCATGTTTAGCAAATAATATACCCTTCCTGGGGGTTCCCTTAAGGTACCATAACACCCTTTCTACAATAGCCATATGTATCTCTAGGAGCATGCATGAATTGGCTGATGACACTCACAACACTCCCCTGTCAGCTAAAGAAGTTTCCCCAGTAATCTCTGAAACACTCCCCTGTCAGCTAAAAGTTCTCCATCATTAGCTGAGAGTTTATCACATCAAGAGGGGTAGAGGCAAGTTCAGCACCAAGTTTTCCAATCTCAATAAGGTCTAGGACATACTTCCATTGAGAAATAAAAATACCTTCCTTGAACCTAGCAACCTAAATGCCCAGAAAATACCGCAACTCCCCTAAATCTTCAATTTCAAATTCAAAACTGAGAAACTTCTTGAGAGCACTAATTTCTTTTGTATCACTACTAGTAACCACAATACCATTTACATAAACTATAAGGAATGTCACCAGAGTGTCTTTTCTCTTAACAAAGAGAGTGTGATCTGATTGAGTCTGAGTATAGTCGAAATAAACAAAAGCAGCCCTAAACATGTCAAACCAAGAACGTGGAGATTGTTTCAGACCATAAAATGATTTCTTCAATCTACACACCTTACCTTACCCTCCATTTCCTTGCCATATATACCAGGAGGAAGGGACATATATACCTCTTCAATGAGATCACCATTCAGGAATGCATTCTTAACATCAAATTGATACAAAGGCCAATCATAGCTCACGGCTAAGGATAAAAGAACTCTCACTGAAGTCATTTTAGCAACTGGAGAAAATGTCTCAATGTAATCTATCCCATATACCTAGGTATAGCCCTTGGCAACAAGCCGAGCCTTATACCTCTCAATTAACCCGTCTACACGATACTTGATAGTGAAAATCCACTTGCACCCAACAAGTTCCTTCCCAACTGGCAAGTCAACAATATCCCAGGTATTGTTTTCATGAAGGGCTTCTATTTCAGTACTCCTAGCATCCCTCCAATTTGGTGTGGCTAAGGCTTCTGAAACAAACTTTGGGATGGATCAGTGTTTTAAAAGCGAGGCGCATGCCTTTTTGAGGCAAGGCGCACAATTAAAAAAAAAAACTAAAAATTCAAAAAAAAATCAAAAAAATATAAAAAATATAAAACATAAAATTAATAAAATATAAACTTAAGTTTTAAAATAAATGTTTTAAAAAACCTATTATCTAAAATTAAAATACATAAACATATATGTAAAGCATATTCAAATGAGAATTTAAAAATTAAATCAAACATATAAAACATTTTCAAGCATATAATACCCACAATCTCTTTTTTTCTCAAATGCATCAAGTAGCTAATGTGACATATTACTTCCTAATTCTACGAGCCGCCTTTGTGCCATGCCCCTCCCCAGCCGCCAAACTCAAAAAAAGGAAAAAGCAACAAATTTTCAAAGGTGCGCCTTTTGAATGGGTTGCGCCTAGGACCTGGGCGAGGCGCCTCGCCTATGCACTAGGCGCACCTAAGGCACACCTTTTAAATCATTGGGATGGATTGAGAGGAAATGGAGGCTAAAAAGGATATATTAGGATGGGGACAACAAGCTGCAAGAAAGATGTTTGGAAATACAATGAGTTGTACATTTCCTCTTACCTTTTCTCAAAGCAATAGGTAAGTCAAGGTCTAGAAACGTGGGTACTGGTGGAGGAGGTGATGGACATGTCCTATCTTCAGCAATCGAGAGCGCTTGAGTCTCAACTAGAGGTGTGGGATCAACCTTTGTTTGCCTTAGCCTTTGTCGTTGGTGCCACCTCTGGAGAATAGGATGAGTGGAAACAACTGGAGGACTAGTAGGAGTAGAAGACCTCAAAGGAGAAAATCCCTCCATGGGAACGGGGATAACTGTGGAGGGCTCAACACAAGACTCAACTAGAGTTGGAAAAGGAAGAGATGAAGAAAACAACTCGAGAGATCTCTCCCCCTCAGAAGGATGGCTATATAAAGGAACTAACTCTACAAAGGTGACATCCATGGAAACAAACCAGGGGCCACTAATGGGATCAAAACAACAATACCCTTTCTCTGTGGAGGCATAACCAAAGAAGATACACTTTTGAGCCTTGGGGTCAAACTTGTGTCTTTTGGAACTGGGAATGTGGATATAACAAGTGCAACCAAAGACCCTCAAAGGAATAGAGAAAATCTCAACATCAGGAAAGAGGACTCCAAAGGGAGATTTTAACCCTGAGACCCGAGAAGGCATGTGGTTAACAAGGTATGTAGTTGTTAAAACTGCATCACCCCAAAACTTCACAAGAACATGGGTAGCAAAAAGAATGCTCCTTGTAACTTCCACAATGTGTCTGTTTTTCCTCTCCGCTACTCCATTTTGTTGTGGAGTGCGGACACAAGAACTCTGATGAATAACCTCAAACTTCTCAAGATAGGAGGTAAGGTCCTTCTCAAAATATTCCTTAACATTGTCTGACCTGAATATTTTGATGCAGGTATTAAACAGAGTATGTGTTCATGGAACCGTTGCACAAGTTTAAGCACTTCAGCTCGAGAGAGCATAAGGTAAATCCAAGTATATCATGAAAAATCATCAATAAATAGGATGAAATATTTATACCCACCCATACATGGTAAATGGTAAGGCCTCCACACATCAGAGTGAACAATATTACAAGGAATAGTTGATCTTTTATTACTTGAAGGATAAGTGCTCTTATAATGCTTTGAGAACTCACAAGACTCACAATGAAGACTCGATAGACTAATTCCTTTAAAAAACTCTAGAATCAACTAACTCAATGAAGAAAATGACAAATAACCCAAAACGACTATGACATAGCATAATACGACTAGTGGACTATAAAACAAATGTAGTTCTCTTAGGTTGTACTTGGCTCTACTCAGGCATGTCTAACAAATAGATCCCATTCACCTCAGGGCCACTCCCAATCATCTTCTAAGGTTCCATGTCCTGAAAAACACAATATAAAGGGGAAAATGTCACATTGCAATTCAAGGATTTAGTCAAATTACTAACTAAAAGCAAATTGGTATTAAGTTTAGGTACATGAAGAACAGATGATAAGGTTGGGGCATTAGAGGTCTTAAAGTCTCCCTTCCCGTGATAGGGGCTAAGGAGCCATCAACAAGGGATATCTTATCCCAGCCAGAAAGAAGTTGGTAAGAGGTGAATAACTATGAAACATTGGTCATATGGCCAGAAGCACCAGAATCAATTATCGAAGGGGTTTTATGAGTACCTGAGACAAAAACATGATGTGTAGTGGCACGAATACCTGAGTGAGCATATGCAGAGGAAGGAACAATCTCTGAAGGAGATATAGCAGTGGCCTCCAAGTGACTGATGATTCAGCCATACTTCTCATATTCAGCCCTGGCAGCTACAAGTTGTTCTCCCACAGACTTCTCTCCACCTTGTCCTTGTTCACCTCCTAAAGAGGTGGCTACATTTGCATTTCCACCTTTTATAGTTTCAACCCTTTTCCCACCATTTTCTTTCTTGAATCTGGTAGGAACGAGCTCTGGATGCAGCTTCCAACACGTGTCTTTAGTGTGTTTAGGCTTCTTGCAGTATTCACATATAACATCTTTCTTCCCAGTGCTAACCTTTGGCTTCATCCCCACATTAGCATAGTGATCAACCTACGGCTCAACAGACTGAATCTATCTTCTGCTCTCCTCACTACTCACCATAGCATATGCCTTAGACAAAGTCACCCCATCCTTTGCTAAAACATTCTGCCTCACAATACCATACTCCGAGTTGAATCCGGTGAGAAACTCAAAAGACCCGATTTCTCTCCACCAACCTCTTATATGTTTCTACATCCCTTGTGCAACCCCAAACAACAATCCCCATCAAATCAATCTCTTACCAAAGAAATTTCAGCATAGAGAAGTAGATTGCTAAAGGCTTCTCCCCTTGTCTAAGATTATTCACATCATGCTTCAATTTGTAGGCCCAAGCAACATTAAGCTTTTGGGAATAGGTCTCTGTGACAGTATCCCACACTTTTTTTGCAGTTTCCATCCACGGGTAATGCTGACTAATGTGTGGTTGCATAGAATTCACTAACCAACCCACTGTTGTGTAATTTTCCTGCATCCACCTTTCATAGGTAGGATCATCCTCCTCCGGTTTCTTCTTGCTCCCGTAATATAACCCCATTTTCCTCTACTACACACATGTATCTTAATAGATTGAGATCAAGCTAAATAATTGGTCTCATCTAGCTTCACAATGGTCACAGCCCCAAAAACATTCCCCATTGACCCTCCATGTCCAAACCCAAAATCTGTGAAATATTTAGTATCTCCTCCAGTTTGCTACATTGAGTAAACGAATGCAAACGAAAATCAAATTAGGGCTTTACTAGGCTAGATTTATTGTTCTAAGCAAAGAACAACCTCTCAACCCCCAAAAATTAGGGTTTCACAGGGTCCTGCAGGATGGGGAGAAAGAGAGAAACTTCAAGCGCCCCTTCCAAAGGTTCCAGAATTCATCCAACCAAAACCGCCCTTAATAGAAATCAAAGGGCTTACTTCTGATCCCCAAGCACCTGGTTCAAACTGTCTCTACAACTTGTAACAATGTTTCTTTGGTTATCTAGGTTTTTCAAGAAAACCTTCCTTGGTTCAAACTGCCCTGGGCTTCAACTAAGGATGAAAAACCTTCACAAAACTCTCCAAAAACCTTCTTAACTGGGCTGCATAAGTAGCTGATTGATCAACCGATCAGTTCTCCATACACACTATGTATGGGCAAAGAAAGGAGAAAAAAGTCAAAAGTGAGAGCCTAGATCTAATACCAAGTTGAAAATTACACCTACAGTAATTAAGATAATGCAAGAAAAGAAGAAAAGAGAGAAAGAGAAAGAAAAAGAAAAGAAGGGAAGAGAGAAAAGAAGAATTTAAGTCTCTCTCTCTAGCCCCCTTTCATCACTTTTAATCTTTTATTAATAATTCTAAGTCTGACTACAATTACTTGGATGCCCTTAATGGGGTGGCCAGCATTAAAGAGATAATTAAAGAAAATAAAAGAAGGCCCATAAAGCCCATAACTAAGAAACATAACTTCTAAACACTACTTAAAAGAAATAAAGAACACTAGGGCCCATTCAGCCCATTCTCACTACAGAAAATACCATTTTTGTCTGCCTTCCTAAACCTGGAAACTTCCTCTCCCACCTGAATCCTAGAAGGACTCAACTGTTCTAGAAAAGCAACAACTAGAAAGTCCACTTACTAATCATTTACATTCCAATGAAGATGAGGAGATCAAACCACCTGACCATTCACAATCACATATTAATTCCTTATAGATGCTTCAAAATGCTTGAAGAGCCTATTAAATATTAATAATGAAACTGTTAAAGGAAAATGGCAGCACAGACATATATTGAGTGAAATCGAGCAAAAAGCAAGAGAGATGGTCATGCCAGTTAATCGGGCACATAGATCAGCAAATGCAACACTCACTTGCAAAATAAGAGGCAAACAGGGAACAAATGTATCAGGGGGTAACAAATGAAAACAAGTTGTAAAATATTGCAAGTAAAAGAAAAAGGAGGTAGGTGGGAAAAACCAGCCTTAGGAAGGGATTTATTAGGTAAAGGGAGCCAACTGGGTTGTACGTAACATTCTATCTCCAAAATCAATGATGTTCGTAGTTAATAATTAAAAAGATAATGAAAATGTCAAACTAATATGATCTTCTAGGATTCAACTACTTCTTTGTAATTAGTCATTTTTCACATAAAGCCCCATGGCCATATGAAACATGAATGTGTTGAGAGCATGGTCAGCATAGTCACCACATTGTTGTATTCTTTATTCAGTTGCTGATTTCTTTCATTTAGAATTGGGATATATTTGTCTTTTTATGTTTATGTTAGTTTTATTACTTAAAACAGTGGCAGAATTGTAATCTCATTTTCAGTTGATTATTGGATTATAAATAGTAGCCTAGGCAATTGGGAGATCAGACTTTTCTCCTCAACCGGTGCACTTCTCTCAAAACCTGTAGCCTCTCTTCTCCCTTCTCTTGCTCTCTTATTTTTGAGTACCAAGTACATAATTTGTACAGAATATCAGGGGAAAAGAATCACAACATCATTATAGGACTTTCAAGACATTATATTGAAATTTGAAACTGTTTATTTATGAAAACAAAAAAACTAATGGAACTCGTATATATCAAAAGGAAGTAAATTAACCCTTGTTGACAATGCCCTTCTAAATCTCCCGTTCCACTTATCCACAAAGATGGAGTAAGATTTATTGTGGGATGGTCCATATAGTTAGAAGCAAGGTTCAAAGCATCAATACGATACGCCTCATATCAAGGGTATCACTGTATCGTATCTTTAGGGTACTGATACGCTAAATAAAAGGCCTTTGGGGGTTTGACCACTTTCAGGGGATAGCCAGGCCTAAGAACAACACCCTGTAAAATTTTGAAAAAAAAAAAAAAAAACGTTCCATGCCTTTGAAATGCCCGATACAGAAGCTCATGTAAATTGGCTGTATCAATACCTTGAGCCTTGGTTAGAAGAAATATCATCTAGTAGAGTGGTCCCAATTCCCAAATGCCTACAGAAAAAAATAAATAAATAAATAAAGGCTGTATAGGTCTTCGGCTATTTCATTTCACTAGTCAAGCACTATTAGGCAAATGGTTATGGCGCTATGTGGTGGAGAAAATGGGGAAATGATTCATAAATTTCCTAATTCACAACAATTTTACATCTTCTTAGAATAAGATTAAAAAAAGGATTAACAGAACTGACAATCTAGAAGTTGAAGGTTTAACCTTACCTTTTGTGAAGCTTCTCTTTCAAAAAGATCTTTGAGAATAGAAATAAGCACTACAAGCCGTGAACCACAAGGGACTGTAAAAAAAAAAAATAGCATTCAATTACTATATAATTATATCATAGTCAAAACAGTTATGCATCAATATTATCAAAAAAGTATTCATGCATCATTTTAGGCATCTCCTAAAAATGATACCTTTCACATATCTCTGAACTAGCTGCGTTGGAAGGCTATAATCTCCATTCAAAGAGTTTAAGTGTCTATCTGGTTGTTCTGACTCATCATCCACATCAGACCCTGGGGATCTAAATTGTTTACTTAATGTAGTTTGTTGCTCAATGAAGACCTTCTTCTCTTCAAGGCCAACCGTAACTGGATTCTCTAAACTAATATGGGCTAGACAGTTTACTTTTTCATTTAAGGTGGCTGATAGCAATAAATTCTGCCTCTGAAATTCAGAAAACCTAGACATCACCTTCTCCTTGCAAGCAGACATGCTTTGCCTTGAACCCAGAAGATCAAGTATCTCCTCTATTTCTTTACCAAAACCCAGCTCTAGAATTCTGTGCAGTTGCAAAACAGTAAATATTAAGAATAATTCAAAACAAGAGATAATGTTACCATGTTAAATGTATATGCAAGCATGTATATATTGCCCATGCAGAACAATGCCACAATGTGTAAACAACCCAGTTCACGCAATTTGTTCAAGATAAGGCAACATATCACACATTCACACCATGATAAGCTTAGTTTACACATGTACATTATAATTTATAACTAGGAAGGCAACTTATGGGAAATGTTATGCAAATGGAACAAATAATATTTAAAAACAACAGATCAAGATAATAATGAGTACTGTGTACACAGAAATGTTGGTTCAAGTTTAGCAGTTGTCAGAAAGAGATTTCTTCATCGTGTAGGTTCCAGAACCTGTATAGGAGTGCAACTTGGATCTGCTTGAGTTGAGCATTTATAAATTTTGAAAAGCCCAGCCCGAGGCCTGTTTACCCAATTTGCACTCCTAGCATTGGACAAGAAATCATACCTATCTGCTTCATCAAATATTAACCACCGCAAATTTGTACGCAAGAATGATGATGTATTCTTCAGGTGATCCAAAAGACGCCCTGGTGTTGCAACAAGAATGGATATTCCTGAAAATAAAATGCCATAATGAATTATAATGGAAATCACACTATAAAAGTGATAGTGATAGCCTCTAGCTAGTACTTATTGGTACCATTTATAGCCTAGAACATCATGTGGATTATTAAAAAATAATGATAAAGCAAAAGGTTTTTCATTGTAAGGAACATTATAAATGAAGAAAAACATAACCTTTTTTGTAATTTTTCAGTTGCAATTGTTTTTGCGTTAACCAAGGAACTAATAAGCAAGTAATGATGCCTACAAGATTTTGCTAACTCAACCAGGTAAAGTTATTAAAAATGTGCCAATCATTTGAGTTGCAGGGAGATAGCTAGGACCAACATAGGTAATGGTCTTCTACAGGATGATGTGAGAAACATGTCCAAATATAAAGAAGCAAACCATTCCATCCTACTCACAAAGATGTAGATACATCTTATAGCATTTATATGTTACACCTAGACCAGTAGACCCAGATGACATTTCAAGCAACGTCAAGAAAGCTGCATGCCTGATGAAACCAAAAGACTACCAAAAAAATCCTACACTAAATGAAGATCCAAGAACCAAGAGATATACTAGTTTATACCTTTACGCAATCTGGCTTTCTCCTTTGACCTGTTCTCTCCACCCATTATGTAGCCGGGAACAATCCAATGAAAACGGTGTAATAATTTCTGTAGGATCTCATAAACCTGCATACATAATTCACGCGTTGGCACAAGCACCAACGCTAATAACCCTGAACTGTCAATTTAATCAAACAATATATACTTCCAAAACCAAAGGACATGAAATGACAAATTGAAAACCTCTATTACTAACCATAACAGGTATAAACTACATAACATGGAGCTGGAGTCAATCAAGTTTGGGGAAAGAAAATAGAACCTATTTCTCTTTTTGCCAAAAAGGGGCTTAACAAATAAAGTACCCACCGAAAGTTCCATCAGAGCGCTCAATCCGAGGATTATACCTCTGCAAGTGGTGAATTATAGGAGCAAGGTATGCAATAGTTTTTCCAGTCCCAGTCGCCGCGTTAACAAGTCTAGAAACTTCGTTAAGAACCAGAACAAACACCACTATGGATAAGGCAGAAGAAGAAAATCCCAGCTATAAATATCTAAAACAAGAACATCACAGCTGCAAAAAAACAAAGACAAAGGATACACATGTCTCCCGGAGAGAATGAAAGGAATTGCTTGAGACTGAACCAACGTTGGGACTTGGAAACTCATCCTCTCTATCAAGAATTACAGTGAGAAAACATGAAAGCAGATCGACGTTAGTATGAAAGAACTTAACATTTCAATTTGAATTAATTTATTCCTCTTCTTTTCCCTTTTTTTTCATTTCAGTGTGGGAAGTGTATGACTCCAGTTAGAGTTGGTTTTAAGTAACTCATTTTGCATTAAACCAAGGCGTAGTGCTAGAATATCCCGGGACCTTGAAAGAAAAATAAGAATATCGACAGAGAATCTAAACCTCGAAGTTGTTGACATAAGGAGGAGTCTAGTCCGAGACTGTCGAAGGAGCAAGACGCGAAGATGTCGTTCGCTTCCTTCGTCATCTCTTCTTCACTTTGTAGTCTTGATGGGTTTAGTTAGGGTTTCTCGTTGTCGTCGTTCAGAGCACCGCCTGCCCGATTCTTCGTTTTTCAGGTCGCGCGGGAGATGGGCGTTTTGCTTTTTTCCTCGATTGTTTCTTGGCGAATAGCGATTATCCAAGGTCCACCGTTTCACTGTTGTGCAGATGCAGTGATGCAGACGCTACAGGCATTTCGGTTTGGCTTCTACTTCGAGGACTTCAAATGCAACCCCATGGCCATGTCCGAAGTCGAATACTCGAAGTGGGAAAAGGTTCATAGTTCTTACTTCGGAAATTGGATATTAGTGTAAATGCTGCGCCCCCGCGGCCCGGCACGATTGTATAGACTTAGGGTTTCAGGTTAACGGGCCCGGTTCAGTTCGTAGCACGGTTTATATATATTTTATACATATATTTATATATAATATTATATAAATTATAATTATAAAATAATATATAGTATATAATATATTAATAAAATAAATATTTTTCAATTTTATTATATTATTTTATTTAATTATTATATATAGGTAATTGTATACATTAAAATTTATATAAAATTATAATTTTAAGTTTTTTAAATAAATAATTTTAGCCCAATCCACGGTTTGACCTAGTGCAAGGCTCAACCCACGGCCCGAGCCCACATGGCCCATGTCAGGCCATTTTACACCTCTAATATTAGGCTCCATATCAGTACTGGCCTAATCTCATTTTTATCTCCGAACTTAAAAATGTATCAATTTATTACCTAAACTTCTAAAATGTTAATTTAATATCTACCGTTAAGCAACCGTGAATTATATATATAAATATGTGACATTGTATGCGATTCAAATATTTTTAAAATAACAAATTTACCCTTTCTAATATTTTCCAGAACATTTTTGGATTGGGGCACTTGAGAGGTGGTTGTTGGGGATGAGAGAAGAGATATTAAACCAGGACTAGGTGGTGGGTTTGGAACCATACGGATAAGGCCACGATTGTGGCAATTCTAGGTTTTCGGGCATTTGATTTTTCAATGATGAGTGATGGGGGGTGATTTGGCCCGACCTCGCAGTACGGGTACACGTGGGCGTGACCTTGCTCAAACAGTGGCTCAGCATGACAGTGCAACGGACGTGACCACAACTCGGAGGGAAGGTCCCACCGAGTTCAGCTCGGCAACTGGACGGATAAACCATTCGCCGGAAGCTGCCTCACTCGCACCTCCTCTCCGGGGTTAAGGCACTTCGGGGCATCCTGACCTCTCTTGAGGCCCAAGCTCCTCCCAATGGACCTCGGACCACTCCCAGACAAGAACACGCCGATCCATCTCTGGACACCCCGAGGCATAAACACCTCGGGTCAGCCAGCTCGTCACTAAAGAGACAGCCCAGCTCAGGGTAATTCGCGGAAGGGTAGCTCGGCATACCGCAGGAAGGCTTTCTGCTCGACCGTCGTACCCGACAAATATGTGGACAGCAAACATGTCCCTCGTCAGATAGCGTCGCGCCTGTCACCTTTAGAAAGGTGTATCGCACCTAACAGGCACGTACCATGCAACGACGGCCCCGCGCGTGCCACCTCAGCCTTGCCAGTAACGACTGTGGCAGACTGACAGTGGCGGTTATACCTGCCCTGTCAGAAGCAGAGGGCCTGAAGCAACGAAATTCAGTTATAAGGGGCTTATTCTCAAGCAACAAGGTATCTTCGAATCACCTGCGCAATCTTCACTCTTAGCCTTCGTTTTCCCATTGCTTCTTGCACGAAATACTGACTTAATCATCGGAGTGTTCCCGCCGAGCAAACCCCCGGGAGTTCTTCTTCTTCCCTCTCGTTCCAGGTACCTCTCAGAAGCCACGCGAGTGCCAGCTAGGAGTGACCGGATCGCGCTACATCATTTGGCGTCGTCTGTGGAAAACGCTTCAAAAGGCCTTTCTCTCTAAACTTTCACAGTTCTCTTCTTCCTTGAGAAAATTCAGCACCCATGGCTTCCTCTATCAACGTCGGACGAAGCACGGAAATGGATAACTCCAGGGAGCAACCCCAATTTTCTACTGTCTGTATCGGACAGTTCACCGTTCCCCTCTCGGCAAACGATGCCCGTGAACTGAAGAAAGCCTCCTCAGCATAGTGCAAAGAGAGGGAGATTCCATCCGAGGCTATATCAAGCGGTTTAATGATGCTTGTATGCAAATACCGCGCCTGGACCCCGCCGTATGCCTTGCAGCAGCCAAAAAGGCGTCACAAAGAGTTCAAATGGCACATGGTCGTCAACCAGCCAGCGACCATAACCGAGTTTCTGAAACTCGCGGACAGGTTCATAGCCACCGAAGAGGAGATCAACCAGAAGGGCGAGGGCGCGCCCGAAAAAAGAAAGAGGGAAGGACAGCCTTCCAGTCAAGGGGACAGCCAAAAGAAAAAGGATACAGTTCGGGGAGCAAAGCCGGGTCAATTGTTCCGAGCTCCTGTGGCGGACCGAGCTGATTACACCCCACTGAACGCGAAGCGGGCCGAAATCCTGATGGCGATCAAGGACGCCCCGTACATGAAGTGGCCACCCCGTCTGAGGGGGAATCCCAATGAAAGAAATAAGTCTATATTGCAGTTTTCACAAAGATCACGGTCACAGTACCGAGAGTTGTAAAAACCTCTGCGACAAGATAGAAGAGCTCATCTGTCGCGGATATTTGAGAAACTTTGTACAAAATAATAATAACAATAGTAATAAAACAGGTCGGCAAGGGGAGCACAGTAAGGATGCTCCCGAGTCCAGCAGCAGGTCGGCCGAACAACCGCAGAGGCAGTCTCCGGAGGAGAGGCCTGTTCAGGGGATCATCCACATGATAGTGGGAGGTTCGATCGTTGCGGGTTGCACTTTAGCAGCAGCTCAGACGTCAGTTCGTGAGGCCACCCGGGAGGAGCAGAACCCCCCAAAGTGGCCGAGGATGGAAGACCCAATTTTCTTCACAGAAGATGATGTGCGAAGGGTCCACTATCCCCACGATGACGTGCTCGTAATAAAGCTAAGAATCAACGACTTCGAGGTCAGGGGTGTACTCGTTGACTCATGCAGCTCAGCCGACATCTTCTTCAAAACTGCGTTCGACCAGCTTCAGTTGCAGAGAAGCGACCTGAAGCCTACAAACACTCCTTTGGTGGGCTTCAGTGGAGAAGAAGTCTATCCCCTTGGAAAAATAACAGTACCTGTGGAATTCGGCACATGACCTTGTGTGGTTAGTTTCAAGCACGACTTTCTGGTGGTCGCGACCCCCTCCCCCTACAATGCCATAATAGGTCGACCAATCACCCATGTCCTACGGGTGGTGGTCTCCACTTACCATTTGGCTATGAAGTTCCCAACAGACTTCGGTGTGGGGGTAGCGCGGGGCAACCAGCTTGAGTCCCGCAAGTGCTATGTCGCCGCTCTGAAGGGAAAAACCAAGGTGGCCGACGACCTTGAACTGGAGCGGCCCACGGAGCAAGGCAAAGAACGAGCCGCGCCCTCGGAAGAAACAGACGCAGTCCCGACCTCAGTGGCAGACCCAGCTCAGACGCTTCAGATCGACGCTTCCGTCCAGGAGCCCCTACGACCCGAACTGGTAAGCTTCTTACTTCAAAATTTAGATATTTTTGCATGGTCCGCGGCAGAGATGCCCGGTATAGACCCCAAACTCATAATTCACAAGCTGAATACTGATCCTGTAGTTAGGCCCGTTAGACAGAAGAAACACAACCTAGCCCCAGAGTGGTGGAAAGTGGTCGACGAGGAGGTCGAGAAGCTCATCGCAGCTGACTTCATAAAAAAGTCCACTACCCAAGCTGGGTAGCCAACCCCGTCCTGGTAAAGAAGGCCAACGGTAAGTGGCGCATGTGCGTCAACTACACCGACCCGAACCGAACTTGCCCAAAAGACTGCTTCCCGCTCCCCATAATTGACCGTTTGGTGGACGCGACCTCAGGGCATGAGTTGCTAAGTTTCTTGAACGCCTATTCGGGCTATAACCAAATCAAGATGGAGCTAGCAGACGAAGAAAAGACTGCCTTCATCACGGAATTTGGCCTATATTGTTACAAGGTTATGCCCTTCGGGTTGAAAAATGCAGGGGCAACCTTTCAAAGGCTTGTAAATAAATTGTTCGCGCCGTTAATCAACAGAAAAGTAGAATGCTATGTAGACGACATGGTCGTTAAAACTCAATTATTGCATGAATTAATACAATATTTGCATCCTGTTTTTGAAATTCTACGTAAGTTTAATATGAGACTGAACCCAAACAAGTGTGTATTTGGTGTGACTTCGGGCAAATTCCTATGATACATCGTTAACCGGTGCGGCATTGAGGCCAACCCGGATAAGATTAGGGCCATTTTAGATATGAGACCACCCCGGAAGTTGAAGGAAGTTCAAAGGTTGAATGGCCGCATAGCCGCCCTGAGCCGCTTCATGTCCAAATCGGCGGACCGATGTCTGCCGTTCTTTAAGGCAATTAAGAGCAAAGGGTTCGAATGGACCCAAGATTGCCAGCTCGCGTTCGACGAGCTCAAGAATTACCTCGCTAGTGTGCCAACCTTAACCCGGCCCGAGGAGGGCGATGTTTTAGAATTGTACCTCTTGGCGAGCAACGAAGTAGTCAGTTCGGTACTAATAAAGGAAGTAGACCGGGTCCAACGACCCATCTATTATGTTAGTAAAGTATTGCAGGAAGCAGAGACAAGATACCCGGAGATGGAAAAGCTAGCATACGCACTGATACTCGCAACTCGGAAGCTCCGCCCGTACTTCCAAGCTCATATTGTTATCGTCATCACCGACAAACCTCTAAGGCAAGTCTTACTTAAGCCCGAGGTCTCTGGTCGGTTGACGAAGTGGGCCATTGAGCTCAACGAGTACGACCTCCAGTACAAGCCCGCGAACTGCCATTAAGGCTCAAGCCTTAGCAGATTTCATAGCTGAATGCACATTCAGCTCCAAAGTGCTTAGGCCGGTTGAGCATGAGGTCCCCAGTTCGGGTGAGCTCGAAGCTCACGAGCCGGTTAGTCCAAGCCCCGTGAGGTAGCAGGCGGTGTAGCATCTCTCCTATCTAGGCCAAACGCGAGCTGGGATGAGGAGCCCTGGATCCTTCATGTAGATGTCTCCTCGAACCAATAGGGCAGCGGTGCCGGAATAGTTCTGCATGGCCCGAGCGGTATGAAACTGGAATATGCGCTACGCTTCGAGTTCGCGGCATCTAACAATGAAGCAAAGTACAACACGTTGATAGTTGGACTAGCCTTAGCCAGAGAAGTAAAAGCCAAGCACATCGTTATCTACAGTGACT